GTTGGCCATCTGGATGTCTTCTTTGGAGAAGTGTCTATTCATGTCTTTTGCCCATTTCTTCACTGGATTATTTGTTTTTTGGGTGTTGAGTTTGATAAATTCTTTGTAGATTTTGGATACTAACCCTTTATCTGATATGTCATTTGCAAATATCTTCTCCCATTCTGTTGGTTGCCTTAGTTTTTCTGATTGTTTCCTTCACTGTGCAGAAGTGTTTTATTTTGATGAGGTCCCAGTAGTTCATTTTTGCTTTTGTTTCCCTTGCCTCCAGAGACGTGTTGAGTAAGAAGTTGCTGCAGCCAAGATCAAAGAGATTTTTGCCTGCATCACATCATCTGTTCTTAATTTAGAACTGTTTAGCTTTATAATTACTACTTAAAGATACATTTTTAAAAATTGGGCAGAGGATACAGAAAGTTCCCATATACCACCTGGCCCCCCTCAATTTCCCCCACTATCAACATCTCACACCAGAGTGGTACACTTGTTACAATTGGTGAGTCTACATTAACATGTTATTATCACTCAAAGTTCATAGTTTACATTAGAGTTTACTCTTGGTACACTACATTCTCTGATTTTTGACAAATATTTAGTAACATATATCCACCATTATGGTACCATACAAAATAGTTTCACTGCCTTAAAAAGCTTCTGTACTCTGCTATTCATCTTTCCCTCTCCTCTAATCTCCAGTACCCACTGCCTTTTTTTTTTTTTTTTTTTTTTTTACTGTTTCCATAGTTTTGCCTTTTCCAAAACGTTATTTAGTTGGAATCATTTGTTAGCCTTTTCAGATTTGGCTTGTTTCACATAGTAATATACATTTAAGTTTCCTCCATGTTTTTCATGGCTTGAGAGCTCATTTATTTTTAGCACTGAATAATATTCCATTGTCTGGATGTACCAATGTTTATTTATCCATTTACCTATTGTAGAAGAACATCTTAGTTCCCTCGAAGTTTTGGCAGTTATGAATAAAGTTACTATATCCGGAATTTCTGGTATACTTCCTGTAACATCATCTATTCTTTTTTTCCCCCATAATATTATTATTTTTTTATTTTATTTTTTATTTTTTTTTAATTTACATCCAAATTAATTAGCATATAGTGCAAAAATGATTTCAGGAGTAGATTCCTTAGTGCCCCTTACCCACTTAGCCCATCCCCCCTTCCACAACCCCTCCAGTAACCCTCAGTTTGTTCTCCATATTTATGAGTCTCTTATGTTTTGTCCCCCTCCCTGTTTTATATTATTTTTGTTCCCCTTCCCTTATGTTCATCTGTTTTGTCTCCTAAAGTCCTCATATGAGTGAAGTCATATGATTTTTGTCTTTCTCTGACTGACTAATTTCACTTAGCATAATACCCTCCAGTTCTATCCACATAGTTGCAAATGGCAAGATTTCATTCTTTTTGATTGCCGAGTAATACTCCATTATATATATATATATAGAGAGAGAGAGAGAGAGAGTATATATATATATATATATATATATATATATAGTACATCTTCTTTATCCATTCATCCATTGATGAATGGGCTCTTTCCATACTGTGGCTATTGTTAATAGTGCTGCTATAAACATGGGGGTGCATGTGTCCTTTCGAAACAGCACACCTGTATCCCTTGGATAAATGCCTAGTAGTGCAATTGCTGGGTCATAGGGTAGTTCTATTTTTAGTTTTTTGAGAAACCTCCATACTGTTTTCCAGAATGGCTGCACCAGCTTGCATTCCCACCAGCAATGTAAAAGAGATCCTCTTTCTCCGCATCCCTGCCAACATCTGTTGTTGGCTGAGTTGTTAATGTTAGCCATTCTGACAGGTGTAAGGTGGTATCTCATTGTGGTTTTGATTTGTATTTCCCTGATGATGAGTCGAAATCTTATTTTAATTAAGTCCATTAGATTTAATGTCTTAGTGTTCTGGCCTAAACCAAGTTGTCACACTCAGATTAATTACTCCTAGAAGAGAAGAAGGCGACTAGGATCGTAGACAAGGTAAATCACTCATCACTGGCAGAGGCTATTGATTGCTATTTGAGGAGTATTATTTACCTAAAATGTTCAGTGGTACACTGTTGGATGGTAATATTTGCCCATTTTAAAATCAGGTTGTTTTCTTATTGTTGAATTGTAAGAGTTCTTTATATTTTTGGATAACAGCTTTTTTTTTAAATCAGTTCTGTCTTTTGCAAATATTTTGTTCCAGGCTGTGGAAAGATGCATTTTAAAGTGTAGCAGGCCAAAGTCCCTTATCATTTCATTTGGTATTATCTTGTTTTTTAAGTTATATTTGCTTTCATTTGTCAAATTTTATAATTTATCATGTTGGTATCTTTAAAATTTTTTTTAATGTTTGTATTTATTTTTGAGACACAGAGAGACAGAGCATGAGCAGGGGAGGGGCAGAGAGAGAGGGAGACAGAGAATCCAAAGCAGGCTCCAGGCTCTGAGCTGTCAGTACAGAGCCTGATGCAGGGCTCAAACTCGCAGACTGTGAGATCATGACCTGAGCTGAAGTCGAACGATTAACCAACTGAGCCACCCAGGTGCCCCGAGGATTTAGGATTTTTAACACCTGAATTTTGGGGGCACACATTCTCTCCGTAGCATTTGTGAACAGTTTTTGTGTGGGCATAGGTTTCATGTCTTGGGTATATTCTTTTTTTTTTTTTTTTTTTTAATTTTTTTAAATGTTTGTTTATTTTTGAGACAGAGAGAGACAGCATGAACAGGGGAGGGTCAGAGAGAGAGAGAGAGACACAGAATCCGAAACAGGCTCCAGGCTCTGAGCTGTCAGCACAGAGCCCGACACGGGGCTTGAACTCACGGACCATGAGATCATGACTTGAGCCAAAGTCGGACGCTTAACCGACTGAGCCACCCAGGTGCCCCTCTTTTGGGTATATTCTTATCTGGGAGTAAAAGGTCTGGGTCATAAGGTAATTCCAACTTTTCGAGGAACTGCAAAAGTATTTTCCTAAGTGATTGTATCATTTTATAGTCCCACGGTATGAGGGTATGTCAAGGTATGAGGGTTCCATTTCCTTCACATCCTTGCCAACATTTGTTATTGTCTGTCTTTTTAAATTTTAGTTATTCTAGTGGGTGTGGAGTAGTACCTCATTGCAGTTTTGATTTGCATTTTCTTAATGACTAATGATTGAACATTTTATTATGTCTTTATTGGCCATATATATATCTTTCTTGGAGAGGTATCTGTTCAAATCCTTTGCCTATTTTTAAATTGGATTATTTGCTTTTTTATTATTGAGTTGTAAGAGTTCTTTATATATTCTAGATACGAGTCCCTTATCAACTCTGATTTACAAATATTTTTTCCCATTTTATGGATTGTCTTTTCATTGTCTTCATGGTGTTGATGATTTTAAATTTTTTTCATAATATGTGGTTGTAGTATTTATAAAGAATGTCTGTTTTGGATATCTTTTCCTTTCTATATTTATCCTCATTTCTTTTCACTACCTTATTTTGATGACCAGGAAGAGTTCCGAAAAATATATCAAAAATAGAAGTGGTAACGGAGCACATTTTTAGTTTTTGTTTTATTTTGGTTTTCACATTTCTAAGGAGAGTGACTGTCATGTTTCTTCACTGTGAATACTGTTAACTTCTGAGTTCAGAGTAAGCCTCTTTATCATGTTTAAAGTTCCTTTATTTCTCTTTCAAGGGTTAAAAACGGTGAAAAATGAAAGCAATAGTCTCTATTCTCCCCATAAATGTCTACCCCATACCCAGTCTTATTTGTGAATATGTAGTATTTTTGTACTTTGGTTATCTGTAGATTGCCCTTTCATTATGCAGTAACAGAAACTTCTTTCTTTTCAGTAACAAGTTATAGCTCTAGTAATTTTTGTCAGTGGATGAGCACCATCATTTATTGTCATGTTTGTGTGGGTTTTTTTCCTTGTGATTTGGTGAGAAGATCTGACCTTACAAAGAATAATATTTAATTTTATATGATCATTTAGCCAGAGTTACTATTTTCTTTTCCTTTATTTCCTCCTTCCTTCCTTCCTGTCTTCCTTTCTCTTTCTTTCCTTCCTTCCTTCCTTCCTTCCTTCCTTCCTTCCTTCCTTCCTTCCTTCCTTCCTATAAGGCAATGAGTGAAATCTATTTTCTTCCGAAACATCAGAAAGTAATATAAAGGCCAAAGCCTTTCTAACATCTTAAACATTTCTGTCTCCTTAAAAATTGCTAAGTTGGAAGACCTCAGTATAAAAGTAATACTTTTCAGAAGAGTGGATAAAATGGATGAAATGGAAGAGGATGAAATAGAGGAGTTTTCAAAATACCCTTTACAAGCCTCCATTTTGATTGCATTTCACAATATCTAAGACACCATGCCTGAGAATGTGCTCTCCTTGCTTGTGGAGTTGATTAGTGGCCGGTCAGAAGCCAATGGTGACTTCAGGGTGGAAATAATACCCAATATTAAAGTTGCTGTCATGAGTTTTCACAAAAATACTGGTAAGACAGACAATATCTTTTAACCTTTCATTTGCGAATTGTGCTTGTATCCTACTTTGAGATTCTAGACATCTCACAGTGGGTTTTGTTTAAAAGTTGTGCTCTTTCTAACTCCCAGTAAGACAATTGCAAAGGATTATGTATTACTATTTCCGGTACTCCTAAAAACTAGCATTTATCAAGTGCTTTGCTCTATGCTAAGCACTGTGCTAAATTTTTACTTGCTTCTTCTTAAAACATATAGCACTATGAGATACGTACTGTTATTACCGCCATTTTACAGATAAAGAAATCTAGGTTTAGAGAGAATTAAATGATTTGGTCACAGTCGCACTGCTAGTAACATTTCTGACTTCTGAGTGTATTTTTTTTCTTTTCTTTTTTTACTTTAGAGAGAGACCATGAACAGGGGAGAGGGGCAGAAGGAGAGAGAGAGTGAGAAAGAGAGAGAGAGGGAATTCCAAGTAGGCTCCATGCTCAGCACAGAGCCTGACATAGGGCTCGATCCCATGACACTGGGATCATGACCTGAGCCAAAATCAAGAGTTGGACACGCAACTGACTGAGTCATCCAGGCACCCCCTGAGTGTATTTTCTGAACCACTGTGACTATGCCCTCAAATTTCCTATGGGCATAAACAAATTTATTTTTATGACAATGACATGTCCAAATAGAGACCAAGATATGGTGAAATTGGGGGGGGGGGGGGCAGAGAGAAATTAGAGTGAGGAAACAATATCATATTATAATCATTATTATTATCAGCTTACACAATGGCTGCACATACTTGATTTCATTTAGAGAGATAGCTGTTGATACATGTTCCCAAAATGGTCTTAAGTGGAGGCCAGTGTGCACTCATGCATTCTCGGTAAGCAACGTGGGATAGGTTGAAGTTGATACTGTGAAATTTAACTTTATGTAGAAATATAGTATCTAAATTTTAATTCTTAGTTATGGCCTCTAAATCAAGTTACTATTTAAAATCTGTTTTCTTTTGCCATGAAATGAGATTATAGTACCAATAAACTGATTTTTATTTGTAGATGACAAGGCATTTGTTAAGGTTTGTGTCAGACACTATAGAATTCAGCAATTTCAGATTTTCCCAAGACTTCTGGAAGTGATAAGAACCATTAGGGTTGAAAATCTGCCACCTCATGTTGATAAAATTACATAACAATTTTCTTGGAAAACCCCACAAATGGAGGAGAAGGAGTAACCAATGCACAGCTTTTCCCAGAGAAGAGTTCAGCCCTGGTTGAGTTTTCTGACTACCAAGGTAATTGATTCTCTTCTTTCTAAATCTTTACAGTTATTATTAACCATTTCATGCACAAATGAAGTCAAATTAGAAGCCACACAAGTGGTTAGGAAAACCATCAAAGCCACCCATTCTTACTGGAATATGCCATGAATTAACTCAAGGCTTTGAATAGGTCTTTGTGAAGACCTAGATAAAAGAATTGTTTTTTGTGCAGTAAAAAAAAAAAAAAAAAAAACCCAGAAAACAAAAACTTCTCTTGACCTCAATTTCTCTGCAGTTACTGCTTCATTTTTTTGTTTCCCTTTGCAGAAAAATGTCTCAGGTGAGTTTGTCATGACTCATCCCCATTTTCTCTCCTCTTACTCTTTCTCAAATCCATCCGAGAGGAGGCTTTATCCCCACCATTCCATCAAAATTGCTCTCGTCAAGTTCAGCAATGACCTCCTAAACTAAATTTACGAACCAGTTTTCAGGCTTAATTTTACTTGATCTCTTCATAGCACTTGACTCAATGATAAATAACTCTCTCCTTCTAAGTGCACTTTGTTCACTTGCTGCTAGGATGCCACACTTTGTTCTCCTACCTCGGTAGCTGCTAATTCTCATTCTTCCTTCATTTTACCTTTTCTTCAACTTTTAATTTCGAGCTCAGTTCTTTACTTCTTTTTGTCTACACTCAGTTCCTTGGAGAGCTAGTGGCTTTAAATACTGTCTATGTATCCATGACTTTCAATTCATGTCTCCAGTCAAGACTCTCTCATAAACTCCAATGTCAATTTTCACTGCTAGTAGACCTATTCACCTGGTTGCCTAAAAGTATATGACATAAATATAACATGTCCAAGACAAAACTCCCAGTCCTTCTCACCTTATGCCACCAACCTGCATTACCCACAGGCTTTCCCATCTCAGTTGATAGCAGTTCCATCCTCCTAGTGATGAGGGAGCTTGAGGCAGGCTGAGGGCAAAATACAGACTAGCACACACCACACACACCCCCGAGGTGGGGCACGTGTGATATTCCTCAGGCACTCCTGGCTACCCTAGGACAAAGGAGAGGAAAGAAAACAAATGACTAACTGACAGAGATCACAGTCATATAGGACATGGGTCTCCATCAGTTTACAGATGTCTTGGTAAATTATAAGAAAAAGGCAATCTTGTCAATAGACTAATCTCCAGAAACCTATAAACTCTGCTTCCTGGAGCCCCGGCATCACCCGTCAATAGTGATATGGGAAACAAAGGCAAGAAGAAAATGGCAGGTAAAATTGAATATCCTTATAACCGGCAGCCCATTGACAAATACTTAGGGCAAATACAGAGTGTAGCATTTCTCCTGGAACCCCCCTACCATCCTAATGTTAATGCCTTAGTAGAGGGAAAACAAAGCTTGACAATAGCAAGGCCTCAGGTATCTTAGGAGTCCTCTTTAGCATATCAAAGTCCCTCTGGAGGCCTCCCTTTTGACTTTACGTCCCCAACTCAATAGTATAAAACCAGCCATTCTTCACAACCCCAGTGCAGGTCTTTCTGCCTATGGGTCCTGTCCCTGTGCTTTAATAACATCACCTTTTGCACTGAAGACGTTTTCAAGAATTCTTTCTTGGTCATTGGCTCCAGCCCTCTTCCCCCCCCCCCCCCCCGCCCCCGCACTTAACCTCAAAAACTCATCATTTTTTGCTCAGGCCAAAACCTGGGAGTCTCTCATATCCCACACCTAGTCTTTTAGGAAATCCTGTTCACTCTAGCTTCAAGATGTATTCATAATCTGATCACTTCTCAAAGAGCATGGTAAGAATTTGGAAAATTAAATGAACCATTTTAAAGGTAGTAACAAACTCCCAAAGAGCTTATGCCACAGAGTAGTTTATATTTTGGATAATATGACTAAATAAATGCCATTATTAATGGCCATATTTCATCTGCACATCCCCTCCTAACTATGATCCTTAGGAAGAGTTGCTAAAGCCAAAAAATATCCCTGAAACTGTAGGTGGAGATAGAAGGCTGGGGGATGGAAATGAATGAGGTCAAGAGAAAAGAAGCAAAAATTAGGATCTTTCTCACATAGCTTGGAAGGAAACCAGTCAAGCAGGAAAGCCAAAAATTGAGATCCTCTCTAGAAGGAAAAGGAGCTTAACTTTCAATAGTAGTTTAAGAAGCTAATAGTCTTAGGACTAGACTGAAATAATATCTGATTCTTCATATTGCAATGAATTGATACCACTGGACATTGTTTTTAATGTTTATTTATTTTTGAGATAGAGAGAGACAAAGCACGAGTGTGGGAGGGGCAGAGAGAGGAAGACACAGAATCTGAAGCAGGCTCCAGGCTCCGAGCTGTCAGCATAGAGCCCGACATGGGTCTTGAACCCACGAACCATGAGATCACGACCTGAGCTGAAGTCTGACACCTGACCATTGGAGCCACTCAGGCACCCCATACCACTGGACATTTTTAATTGGCACTTTATGAGAAGACAAATGTTTAGTGTGGGTATCCCTCACCTAGCAGACTTCTACATTTAAAACGGTATAATTCTTAGGACTCATACTAACCTCCCAAAGTTGCAAAATATGAAGGTCCCATCTCTCTTGCATACTTGTCACCTAGTCCTTAGCTAGTGTTGACATCTGAAGAGCTTTTTTTTTTTTTTTAACAGTTAATTATGGTTATACTCTGGTAAATGGTTAGTGGCTAAGCACAGTCAATGTCTCTGGAGATAATGTGCAAGTTGGGTTAGCTAAAAGCCTGAGTCTGCACTCCAACCATTGTGAGCTAAAGAAGCCATCAGGAGAGGCAGAGTGATATAGGGTGTAGTGCAGCATTTTACAAACTTTTTGTAAACCATGGGGCACCATAAAAATAGGGATTTTATATCCCAACCCATACCTTATGTAAAAACAAAAACATTTGTTGCAATTTGGAAAAAAAAGTTTTGCTGCAACATGCATTTCTTGCTAAGGAACTGTTATACTCTGTTTTCTATTATATTCTGTTTTGTTTTTGTTTGGTTGGGTTTTGAGGCTTTTGTTGTTGTTTATAGTTTTTTGTTAAGACCCTTAAAATTCATATCGTTGGCATAGTTATCAGAGGTTGGCATTCAGCAATGACTTTGACACAAAGGATTAGGGGGTAGGGGTTTTAACCTTATCCCCTCTGTTTCCACCAGCCTGCCTCTTCAAGCCATCCTAAATAAGCATACAGTCTGTGTTAGTTTTCTATTGCTCCATACCAAATTTAGTGGCTTTACATAGCAACCATTTATTATCCTACTTTCTGAGGGCGAGGAATTTGGGAGCAGCTTAACTGGGTGATTCTGGATAAGGACCCCTGATGAGGTTGCTATCAACCTGTTATTTGGGGCTGCAGTTATCTGAAGGCTTGATGGGGACGGGAGAGTTTCTTCTAGGCTCACTCACATAACTGCTGCCAGAGGCCTCACTTCCCTGCCTTGAGGGCCTTTCCATAGGGTTGTTCGTGATGTGGCAGCTGGCTGCCCCCAGACTGAGTTATCTGAGAGAGAGAGGGTGGCAGGGGAGGGGGCAAGGGCTATAGTGCCTTTTGTCATCTAGCGTCAGAAGAGACACAGCATCACTTGTGCCATATTCTGTTGGTCACAGAGACCAACTTTGATACAAGATGGAAGGAAATTATAGAAAGGCATGATTATCAGGGATCATTGGTGCCATCTTACTTACACAATCCAAGGAAATACAGCTTTAAGACAAGTTCCACATACTGCCCCCTACTTCTAGCCAGATTGTCACTCCTAAGCCTTCTATATAGAAATAGAGCATCACTGGCCTTTAGAATCCCAAAGATACATATTTAAATTCTAGAATTTACTAGCTGGATAGTGATAGCAATGTTACTTCCTTACTCTGTTTCCTCATTTAAAGTGGGTATAAAACCTATCTCACAGGGTCGTTATGAAGATTAAGTAGGATAATATTTGTACACTGCCTGACACAAACCAGGTATTCAATAAATAAAGTTATTGTAACTATCAAATTAGGAAAGAATGGAAAGCATAAGTTACTAATTTGATGGGAAATAATAGATATGAATTGTGTTCTAGATAAATGTAGGTCTCAGCTGCTACAGGATAAAGTGCTATTATTAAGTGATGTTTGAATAGTTCAGTGTCCTTCATTTTGATACTGTTATCACCTCTGACATAAAAGTACTGTAATAAACTATTTCTACTGGGTAACATGTATTTGAAAATAGGCTAGTCAGGGCACCTGGGTGGCTGAGTCGGTTAAGCATACAACTCCTGATTTCGGCTCAGGTCAAGATCTTAGGGTCATGAGATGGAGCCCCACAGCAAATTCTTTTTCTCCCTCTCTCTCTGCCCCCCATGACTCCTGCACACCTGTGTGCTCTCTTTCTCTCTAAAAAAAAAAAAAAAAAAAAGGAAGGAAGGAAGGAAGGAAGGAAGGAAGGAAGGAAGGAAGAAAAAGAAATAGGCTAATGAATTTAGAGAAAAATCTCCCTTGACCCCCCAAAAAGAAAAATGGTTGTCTTAGATGTAAAATCACATCCCTAAGTGATGGTCCATCTTCTGCTTGGCTGGGAACTCATTGTCCCCCAAGTTGACCCATTCTTCCTTAGGACAGTTCTAATGATTAAAAAAATTTAGCAGCATATGAAGCCCAAATATGTTTTACTTATTAGTCCTTGTTATTCCTTTTAAAGTTGTAGAAATAAATCCTTTATAAGATAACCCTTCAAATGTTTAATGACAACTATTACGTGCTGCTCCCTTCATCTACTTATTATCTGTACTTCTGCAAGTTAAATATATTCAGTTCCTTTTATATATCCTCATGTGATGTGGTTTTGAATCCTTTTACAGCATCAGTTTCCCTCTTCAGAACACCATAGCTAGTTTTCATAATCCCTTTGCAATGTTTGGCACCTTAAACTAAGTACCATACCCCAGGTATTGCCTATTTTTACCAGTCAAAAGTAGAATAGGGTTATTTATTCACCATACATATTCTTGTTACTATGTTTTTTTTTAAATTATAGCCTCAAATCTCATTGCTACCCTTTTTAAGATGAATGGACTTTATTTTTAGAACAATTTTAGGTTTATAGAAAAATTAAGCAGAAAGTAAGGAGAATGCCTCCTACCCCTAGTTTTCCCTAGTATTAACATCTTGCATTAGTGTGGTACATTTGCTACAATTGATGAAAGTGTATTGCTACATTATTATTAACTACATTCCACCACATTAGAGCTCACTCTTAGTGTTGGATGCTTCTCTGGGTTTTGACAAATGCATAATGTCATGTGTCCTCAATTATAGTTTCATACAGAATAATTTCAGTGCCCTGAAAATCCCCTGTGCTCACCTATTCACCCCTCCCTTCCTCCTCCAAACTGCAAGCAGCCACTGATATTTTTACTGTCTCCACAGTTTTGTCTTTTCAAAAATGTCATGTAGTTGGAATCATATGATATGTAGTCTTTCACATGGGCTCCTTTGCTTAGCAACAGGCATTATATTTCCTCTATGCCTTTTTGTAACTTCATAGCTCATTTCTTTTATCTCTGAATCATATTCTGTTTTATGGAGGCATCATATCTATTATGTATCCATTCATTTATTGAAGGACACCTTGGTTACTTCCAAGTTTGGGCAATTATGAATAAAGCTATATTGCTACTATAAACATTCATTTACAGGTTTTGTGTGGACATAAGTTTTCAAGATATTTGGATAAATACCATAAAGTACAAATGCTGGATCATATGGTAAAAGTATGTTTAGTTTTGTAAGAAATTGCCAGACTGTCTCCAAAGTGGCTGCACCATTTTGCATTCCCATCAACAATGGATGTGATACTGCTCCATGTGCTTCCCAGCATTTGGTGACTTTTTTTTTCTTCTTCTTTCTTTTTTTTTTTTTTTTTTTTTTTTACATTTATGTTTACTTTGAGAGAGACAGAGATAGCATGAGTTGGGGAGGAGCAGAGAGAGGGAGACAGAATCCCAAGCAAGCTCTGCACTGTCAGCGCGGAGCCTAATGCGGGGCTCGAACTCATGAAACTGTGAGATCGTGACCTGAGCCAAAATCAAGAGTCAGTTGTTTAACCCAGTGAGCCACCCAGGCGCCCCCTTTTTTCCTTCTTAAACACAGCTACATCACTGTTGATTTATACAGAATTTACTGTCAACCGAAATCCCTTAGATGTTTTTATACTAGCTGCTAAGCCACACTTTCTCCCAAACTTGTGCAGTTATTCTTTGGACTTTTCTTAGTGCCCTTCCTTTCTTTTGGTGCTTCTCCAAAAGTCCTGGGGTCTCCTTTATTTATTAGGTTATTTCATAATTCAACTGCTATAGGTATTGCTGTGAAGGACTCACAACCTTCTCCAGAGGGATTGCCTTCAGGAGACTAAAGGCCTGGGAACTGGAGGTATCTGGGAGTTTACATACATCACCCAACCAGGATGACCTGTAGACAATAACTGACTGGTATGAGGTTCTAAACCCAGCTCCCTGTCCCAAGGTTGGGATAACACCATGATGCAATTTATATACTCCAGAGCTCCTTGCAGGATTAGCAGAAACCAGGCTTAACCTGAACCACATTCTCTGTCTTTGTCTCTCACATCCTACAGGTTTCTCCTGAGGGTACAACTTTAATAATTCACATGAATCCTCATCTCAGGCTCTGCTTCTAGGGAATCTGAACTAATTTTATGAAATTTTTTTATTACAGCATGCAATTGTTTTTAACTATTTTTGGCTATTACAACTATTCCTTTAAAAATGGTATTGGCTTTACTTCTAACAGTTCATTTTTAATTGCTCATGCATTATTGTTTGTATTTATTGAATCTTTAAGAGTCAAGTTTGTTTGCTTTTTTTTTTTCAGAAAAAAATCACCTCCCCAATATTGTAATGAATGTCAATGGGAATACCAGATTAATTGTACAGACCTTCACTACAAAGTAAACATGAATGGAATAGATCTATTTCATTCAGTGCGAATTGGGTCCATTACATTCATGAATGTCACATCTTTCATTGAGCTGCCTGACAGTGGTGGTACCATTTTAGGGAGATATACTATATTGCAGAGTCTCATTAGTATCAGGATTTCTTTTTGTGCCAAAGATTTTGTCTTAATACCTACCTTTTGCTTTTTCTTTTTTTAGTGGTGGACACCTACTTGGCCAAAAAGCTTGTCTTCAATGAAAGGCCCATTACTGTGTTTCCATATTATGTGACTTCGGGCGTAGCCTTATATGGAAAGGAGAAGCCCCTGAGAAAGTTGCTAGCACCATTTTGGGTGGCTCTGCATCCTCTCATATGGAAGATCATGCAGAAGAAGCATCTCCTGATTGGAATGATAAATTATAAAAGGGGAAGGTGACACTCTGAGGTAACATGGCACCAAGTCAACTGTAAGAGGCTAGAGGTAACATTCAGGTCTGCGACCAATGAACTCACTCAAAGAAGAACAAAGATCAATGTCATCAAGACTTGGAAAGGACATTTCTAAAAACTTCTGCCATATCATCTTTAAATATAAAGTCACCGAGTTGAATATGAAACCAGCAGTATGGGAAGACATAAAAAAACAGCATAGACGATGATAGGACTTCAATTGAGTCTGATATAGTCAAGGAGGTGGTCATAATAACAGGTTGTTTGGAGGATGTGAAAAGAATTTAACACAAGACACCAGTCATAACATTGAAAAGGAAAAAAACAAAATTTGATAGAGAATGTGGCTGGTTCTTCTGAAAGGTTTTCTAGTCTTCATATCAGTGCTTTGAAACAGTCTATACCTGAGGAATTCTCAGGGTGGGAGATCGAGGTCATTTTTTTGTTTGTTTGTTTCAAGTTTTTATTTAAATTCTAGTTAGTTAACAGAATGTAATGTTGGTTTCAGGAGTAGAATTAGGCAATTCATCACTTACATATAACATCTATTGCTAATCACAACAAGGGCCCTTCTTAATACCCATTATCCCACCGCTCACCAGGGTGGGAGGTCATTGATAATGCTTGCAGCAAACATACCACAGTACATGCAGGAGAGTATAAAAAATGAAATTCTTGAGCAAGTGAAGAGGACTGTTCAAGCCCATTTCCAGTCCTTCTGGAGTTTCCTATTTGTTATAGAAAGTAGAGTGTGGAAAATTCTCTAAGATTATTTTAAGCAAAGAAAAGTCACATCCTTTCTGAGTTAGATCAGGCATGGAAAATAGATTTCATTTCATGGGTTACCTCTGATCAAACGACAGTTGTTGCCTGGAGCTCTGCGTTGAGCAAGATTCTGAAACTATCTGCATTGATTGAAAAAGAGTGTTGATACCAATTAATGTCTGTGACAGATGTGGATGACAAGGTTTATGGGATGGGGTGGTGATGTATCCCATGTTTTTACCATTGGTAAGTGTGACAATACCGTCAGGCAGATCAGCTCCTCTTGCAGATTCTGTGAAGAGCAGATTCAAGGATTGTGTCCTTTATCAGCTAATAATTTGACTTTAAGTAGGTGGTTTCATCTCTTTGTACACTGGTCTCCCCCTCCCCCCCCCCCCCATGAAGTTTCTGTACTGGATGATCTGTGATGACCCTTTAAATTCTAAAATTCTATGACTGATGAATAGTCAAGTTATAAATGTGTTGTTGTGGAGAACTAAGGGGTGTGTCTTAGTTTGGGTTCCCTCAGAAGAGAACCTGAGACAGGATTCAAGTGCAAATGATCTAAATAGGGAAGTAAAAGATACTGATGGTGTGTTTTCAAATCCATTACCACTAATCCCACTGGGGAAACTCAGAGTGAGGCCTACCTGGAAGGCAAGGTTGCTGGGGTGGTTTTACAGGAACTCCTATCAATCATTGGATGAGGACTTGAGAGGGGGTTGTGGGAGGGCTGGTTAATTTACCTGCGATTCCTCTCTGCTACACCTGCAAGCAAAGCAGGCTTTGGTACTACAGAAACTCCTCTGACAAGGAATACAGCTGGAGGGGTGCCTGGGTGGCTCAGTCTGACTTCGGCTCAGGTCGTGATCTCACAGTTTCGTGAGTTCTAGCCCTGTGTCAGGCTCTGTGCTCAGAGCCTGGAGCCTGCTTCAGGTTCTGTGTCTCCCCCCCACCCCCTCTGTCTCTCTTTCTCTCTCTGCCCCTCTCCTACCTGCTCTGTCTCTTTCTCAAAAATAAATAAATAAATAAATAAATAAATAAATAAATAACATTAAAAAAATAAAAAAGAAAGAAAGAAAAGAAATACAGCTGGAAATAAGACCCAAGTGCCCTTTAAATAGGAAGAGCCAGGGGATATGAGCAGGGTCTCCTAAGCTAGAATTCTTGGGGGAATAAGTAAAAGAGCTCACTGGCATTTGAAGTGTTAAATACATTGTGGTAATACATTATTTGCTTTTGAATCTTAGGGTTGGGTTATGAGTTGAGTTAGAGAGATGATGAATCTAATAGGTTCTGTTTGGACACCTATGAGGAAAGTCTCCAGATAGCATTGCCTGGTAATTATTTTTACTGTTTTCTCCACAGTCAAGAGACCAAGCCAGCTGGAAAAATGATCTTTCCAACAGACATGTGATAGCCTCAACCCAAACCAAAGAAGGTCTAAAGCTTGTGATGATAAGTGGAGATGTTATTTATTTCCAGGTAAGTGGTACTATTTAGTAAATCCATCAAGAAACAATGGTGTCTAGGGGCGCCTGGGTGGCGCAGTCGGTTAAGCGTCCGACTTCAGCCAGGTCACGATCTCGCGGTCCGTGAGTTCGAGCCCCGCGTCAGGCTCTGGGCTGATGGCTCGGAGCCTGGAGCCTGTTTCCGATTCTGTGTCTCCCTCTCTCTCTGCCCCTCCCCCGTTCATGCTCTGTCTCTCTCTGTTCCAAAAATAAATAAACGTTGAAAAAAAAATAAAAAAAAAAGAAACAATGGTGTCTAATTAACTGGATCTGTGATTTAAGATCAAAGATGAAGACCATATAAATTTGGGAAGTTAAACCCACCCGAGGTTCAAGCAGGGCTATACTCACCATCCCCTGCATTCCATGTGTTCTCATGTGAAGAGATCCAAGTTGACCACAAACCAGGCTGTGCATATGCACCTCTTTTATTTCTCTATAACTTATCTTTACCTATTTTCAACCCAGTTCTGTTTTTTCTCTCCTGTTCCAATCGACATTTATGGGGAGGACATATACACATCCTATTATAATATTATCCTTCACAAATACCCTGTTGCTCCTGTCTGAGCACTTTCTGAGACACAGGCAGAATGAGAAAGGAGAAAGATTACCAGTACAGGTACTAAATGCTCAGCCTGCCTTTTGCTGCCTCCCCTTCTATTGCTCCCCCTCCCCTCCCCCTGGAATCACCAATTAGCAGGAGGTGCAGGCGCTATATCCCATCTGTAGTTGACATCCATGATACTCAGTGCTGGCTGCACATCAGAATCATCTGGGAAGCTTTTAAAACTACAGATGCCAAGAACTTACCCCTAGAGACTCTGATTTTAATTGGTCAGGTATGTGGTGGGGGGGAGGGATCAGTAGTTTTTAAAAGAATTCAAGGTGATTCTAATATGAAGAGATTTACTGATGTGGATTCTTCTTCAGAATTCTGTAGTTTCCACCATTTTGACACTTGATATTTACCAGATGGCATACACTCAAGATTAATGAAAGGAGAATTCTTCTGAGAAATTTGGAGACTCATGGATTATAAGCCACTGGAAATATTCTTTGCTTTTGCTGCATCTAATGAGACAGCAGCAGGGAGGCAGCCAGCCAGTTTCTTCATGTTCTCTAGAGTAGCTAGAGTCCTTCTCTTTGTCACATGGTTTCAGGACCTTCACTCAGAGCTTCAAGGTGAAAATTTGAATCTTATAATTTTACCCAGAAAGGTGGCACTAATCAAGTTCAGAAGACTTATTTATAAAACTGGAATTATAGTTATTTAATTTGCAAAGAGGAAGCTAATTGCCATGGCTGTGGGTAATAGAGAGCTCTGTAGCTGCCTATTATGAGATTGTTTGGTGAGCATACTCAGACCGGAAAACAACTGGCTCACGTAAAAGTATAGGAAGTTTCTTTTTCACTCTAGAAGGCATAGTGTAGTGGTTATGCAGACCAACTCCAAAGTTAGTCCTGGCAGGGTTCAAATCCCACTTTACCACTGACCAGCCATTGATCTTGGTCAACATTCCCCCTTATGTCTCAGTGTCCTTACCTGTAATTATGGATGATGACAATATTAGGGTTCCTGTGCGGTGGGTCAAGTAAAATAATCCACACAAAGCACTTAGCACCTTCTCGGCACATAGTGAAGACTCAAAAAATGATAGCTATCATCATTATCCACTTAGGACAGACCACTTGAAAGTTTACCTCACCCAATCAGTGCTACAATCTGAGACAGATATTACATGCCCTCATCTTATAGATGAGGAAACTGAGGTCTTTTCACGACATAGTCTGTTGATAAACTCTCACCAACCCTGTCAGGATACCTATTCTCATGGTTGGATGGTGCCATATAAACTTTGGAGCCCTTTAAATCTTTCTTCTCTGAGTTCCTTTCCCTATCCAACTGGTTTCCCAGCCTCCTTGCACACTGTCTCTTGTACATGCCCTTTCCTTTTCATTCCCACAGTCAACTCGTCTTTCAGCACTCCCAGTCACCCCTCTCACCCTCCTGTCTGTTCTCTCCATAGCTATTTGATGCATATTTATCAGATGCTCCCTACTGCCTGCAGCATAAAGCCCAAAAAAGTGTGAGCTTACAAAGTCTTACATCATCTGGCCCCAAATCTCTTTCCAGCCCTGTCTCTTACCGTTAATACTCTCTGTTTGCTAAATTGGACTGCTTTCTGACCTTTTGCAATTCTGTGTGTTTTCTTAAATATTTACCCACCTAGAATGCTTACTGCCTTCTTTTCCCCTATCCCAGATTCATCCCTTATCCTCTTTGTAAAGACTCTACTAACCAGTCCAGTCTAAAGGATTCCTGCTTTTTTTTTTTTTTTGAAATTCTATAGCAATTACTAATTATTTTTAACACAGTTTCTTTTGATTATCTTGAACTGATATAAACATTAAGACTATTTTGCTGTTTTACATGTTAATATATTGCTTCCCCAAACTGTGTAGGAATCAGTAAGCAGAGAGCAGGGTGAAAATGGGCTGAATCTTGTTTTTTTGGAAAGCTTACTGATTTTTTTTTTTAGTTTATTTATTTATTTTGAGAGAGAGAGAGGCAGAGAGAGAGGGAGAGAGGGAAACCCAAGCAGTGCAGAGCCCAATGTAGGGCTCAATCCCATGGACTGTAAGACCATGACCTGAGCTGAAATCAAGAGTCAGATGCTTAACCAACTGCCCTGTGGAAGGCTCACTAACTTTTCCCTGCAAGAAGCTTCTCAGGTCCTGAAATTAGTTTATGTTAACTAACCTCATACAAGACTGAGGTGGACCCATGATAGTGAGAAATATAACTGTTATGTGGCCCAAAGACATATACACCTTTTAATTTACAATGAAGAAGAGCTCCCAAGGAACCAGAATACTCAAAATCCACAGGAGCAAAGCATTCTGCCCTCTAAATTTGAATACAAAATAGGAATAAATAGAATTGGATGAATTGAATATTTAACATCTGTCGGCATCAGGTCATGACCCCATCTCACCAAGGGGATGGCCTCAGCAAGCTTTGGAGATCCCCATACCCCTGGAATGGCTTGTGTGGACACTGCCTACCTTCACTTCAATGACCTTCCTTTGTTTAGGGCTTTGTTAGACCTTTTTTAGGCCTTTGTTAGACCAGAATCTGCACCCCCTCCCTGCCCTCGCCCTTCAGATGGACCCATTCTTTCTTTAGGTATGTTAATCAAGTCAAAACAATTACTCTCAGTTCCTGCCAGCCTAAAACATACTCTTTCTTCCTCAGTGGTCTCTTTCAGAGTTCTGTTTTTGTTTCCATCTGTCTAGCTATCTTTCTGTTTCCGCTTCTACCTTTCATTCTGACTCTCCTTTCTGTTTCCTCATTTTCGTAGCCCTACTCTGACTCATCATATGTTAACTTAACAGTAGTGGGTGATATATTTCCTTAATTTCTAAGTTTTGGGTCTCACCCCATTACAATATCTAAGTACTAACAACAGATTGTAAGCCCCTTGAGGGTAGGGCTGGGAGGTCAGTATGATAGACAAACGTATCTTGTGCATTACCTCATAATACTTGGCAAGTCATAGGTGCTTAATAACTATGGATTGGAACTCTAACAAACATGTTGCTGTTTTCCTTAAGGCCGATGTCATCGTCAACACTGTTCCCATGAATCTTCAGCTTGGAGGAGGACCACTATCTCAGTCTCTTTTGCAGAAAGCTGGTCCAAAGCTCCAGGAAGAGTTATATGCCACCAGGCAGGGAACAGAGGAGAAAGTGGGTAGCATATTCATGACAAGTGGCTGCAATCTGAACTGCAAAGCTGTGCTCCATGTCGTGGCACCAGGCTGGGATAATGGAGCAGGGTCTTCTCAGCAGGTAGAGAAAATCCTTAGTTCTCTGCTACATTGATAGCTCTGGTAATCTTCTGGCAGGATATAGATCTGTGGTTCTCAAGCAAAGTGAATTTATTCCCCAGGGGACATTTGGCTTGTTACACTGGCTACTGATAGCTAGGAAGTGGGGGCCAGGGATGCTGCTAAGCCTCCTACAAAGCATACATGAGCCTTCATAACACAGACTTTTCTGGCCCAGGTTGAGAAACCCTGGTATTGACTGAGCCTTGTCAATTTACTGAAATCTTTATTACATTCCATGAACAGTCCATCACAACTACCAGTTATTACAGTATAATTGACCTTGAAAGTAGTAACAATCCTTGGGGTTCTCCGAGAATGTTATCTGAAAATTAGTGTAATGATCCTTCAGTATGACAGCGATGCAGCTAGAGCTGTGGTAAAGGATGAAGGGTCATTGCCCTTCTTTTGATGACTTCTCACCTCTATTCCCAGTTTAACTTCCACTTTCTTTTTTTAGAATATAAAAGTAATACATGTACATTGGACAAAATACAGGAAGTACAAAGACAAAAATAAAAATTATAATCCAGCCATCTAGAGATAACTTTGGTGAACATTTTATTGCAATCCCTTTGAATCAATTTTATTCATACTTATTTCTTAGTTGAGACTCCTTCCAAACATTTTTTTAGTCCTGCTTTTTTTTACTTAAACATTTCCCCGTGTTGTTAGAAATTCTTCATAAACATCGCTTTTAATTGCAACAAGACACCATTGTTTATGTGACCATTCCCATACTATTGGAACCTTCTTCCTGCATGAGTTAGAATCTCCCTGGAATGTCCACTTCCCTCTTAGGTTCCCTTTCTGACACCCTAGACCCGGACAAAGCCAAGAATAGCAGAGAAGCCCTAGTCAGAGTTTTTGGAGCTGTAGCTCTCTCTATTTCTCACCAGCTTATGCCCTAACTTACAGAAATGTATTTTGTACATTTCAGATCATGGCAAATATAATCAAGAAATGTTTGACAACTATGGAAGAGTTATCTTTTTCATCAATCACATTTCCCATGATTGGAACAGGAAATTTGAGTTTTCCCAAAGCTACTTTTGCTGAACTAATCCTTTCAGAAGTGTTCAAATTTAGTAGCAGTGCATGGCTGAAAACCTTACAAGAAGTTCACTTTCTGATACATCCAGGTGATAACGAAATCCATCAGGTACGGTTACGTATCTCTTCTGGTCATTCGGGCAAGTGAACCTAAGTGCAGTCAGATGTCTTTGTAGATCTATAAATAATAATGTTTTCACTTCCCTGTCCATAAGTGTTGGTTACTGATAGGGAGTTGTCGTAAGACTTATAACACTGAGAACTCATATAATCTTTCCCAGATAGTTTAGCAAGAGGCAAGATAATTTGTACTTAATAAATTCTTAGGAAAAAGCAGAAAGCTATTGGCATAAAATTGGCCAAGGCATTTTAACACTGACTGAATGAAAGCTAAGTCATGGCTTTATTTATAGGGAAAAGACCAACTGAGAGAAACCTCAAGAATTTACGGTGTTGTTGGTGGTGTTGTTTTCGGGCTAGAATATAGCCAGTCTATCCAAATCTATGAGGGTCTTAAGCTAGAAACATCAGTAGAGTATTCAGTAGTAGAGAAGGAGGCAAAGCACAGTTAGTAAGTACTTAACTCCTGACACCTGACCTTGTAAGGTGACATTCCTTGAGATGCACTCCTTAGCTGATTGGCCCACTCTGAGTACTGAAATCTGTTTTTCACTCTTGAAAAAGTTATATTGATTTTATATAAATTGTGCTTAGTTATAGCAAAAATGCAAACAATATGAAAGTACAAAGAAGAAAGTTACCGCTAGGTTTGCATTTCAATTGTGCCATTTAAAGGTTGAGTGAGGCAACCTCTCTGAATCTCAGTTTTATCATGTGTAGAGTGAATATGACAATAATGCCTTTTTGAGTTGATGCGGGAATTAAGAGAAGATGTATTTGAAATGTTCTGCATGGTGTCTAGCATATAGCAAGCATCAAAACTGGTTGCAGAAGTAGTTATTATTATCTTTTTGTTACCTGACTTTAAGGGCTATTGCTATAAACTACTAACATGAGTACTTTAAAAAGATATCAAATATAGTGTTCTTTTCTAAGTTCTTAGTTATTCTCAGGTATCTGAGATAGAATTGTGGGCTTTCCTTGAAATAAACTAAATCAGCACTGATATATACTGCGAAAATTCCTAGGTTGAACTGTAATCCTTTAATTAAAAAGTCTCTGGGTAAGTGGAAATCTAGGGAGAACTATTGTTCCTAAATGATGTTTGGTGATCAATGCTCCAAAGAATTGGATTAATATTTTTACAGAATATTGTTGTAGTCGGTAACTATATTTCTATTTCCAGGCATTTTTAGATGAATTCACTAAATGGTCAAGAGGAAATCCTGACAAGGACAGGATTCTCATGGCTGGAGATGGCCAAGGTCTGGCAAAGTTGTTCTGCTGAGGAAATTACTTCCCTCTGCTTCGTACCTCTTCAGTGGTAGCTTAAGGCCAACAGAAGGAGACAAAGCTAATTCACATGAGGAACAAATCAGTGATGGAGAGGGTATTAGAGCATGTGTTAGAGCATGTTCTGTTGTCTGAGCACACAAAGAATACATCACACAGACCCTGTGCTGTGCACCCCAGCAAACTCTAAGCCTAGGGTGGGTGTTGGTCCGGTGAGGCCAAAGAAAAGAGACACCAACTGAGACATAGCTTTACTGGGGAAACTTATGTACAGGGAGTCCGGGAGTGGCTGACGGGATAAAGGCTCTGCTGCTGGGATCTATATGCAGCAAGTTTTCATATCACAGCAACTTACCCTAGCAACTATCAGTGGCCCTTCCCCTCCTTGTGTGGCCAGCATTTCCAAGGAGATCAAGGCCTGACACTTGGACACTCTTCATTATAAGAGGACATTCAGGGTTGGCCAACCCCCCACAACCAGCCCCTGGCCTTGAACACTGAACAATATGCTCTTCTGCACATTCTGCCTGATGGGAATGTAGAGGGAGGACAGGATCTCTACATATTCAAGATAGTGATTAACAGGGCCATTCAGGGGATGCTTGCACAAACCAGCTATCCAGCATGTACCATAAGGATACGAACCAAATCCCTGGTAATGAGGCCAGGGTTTCTAAGGTATGATAATTAAAGATAACTGAAGATGGAGGAACAAGACAGAGGCCAGGGTTGGGACTGGCGACCGCTCCGTGGCTTCCTTGATCATCCCTGTGTGCTGCTTCACCCGCGGCAAAATCCTCACACCAAGTGGGAGGCCTACCTGGGGCTGCTGCGGGCATAGTACACTGAGGGGGATGCCCTGGATGTGCTGGCCTGAAGCACTGCTCTTGCCTCTACGTGCTGTTGGCGCACATGTATGTGATAAGAGGCCGTGCCCCTGGAGAAGTGAATGTGCTGGAGCCTGCCCTGCCTAGAGTTCATTCCACTGAGGTGTGGGTAGCTGGGAGCAGGACCTGCCCACAGCCTCCTGGGCCTGTGTCCTCCCACTCTGAAGGACTCATCCAGTAAAGGCCTTTGAAGAACCACACACATGCATACATAACTAAAATACGTACGACACCCTAAACTTCACTGATTGCTTTCATATATTTTTTTAAAGTTTTCTTATGTTTATTTATTTATTTTGAGAGAGAGAGACGAGTGGGGAGAGGGGCAGAGAGAGAGAGAGAGAGAGATTGAGAATCCCAAGCAGGTTCTGCGCTGTCAGCACAGAGCCAGATGTGGGGCTTGATCTCACAAACCGTGAGATCATGACCTGAGCTGAAATCAGGAGTCAAAGGCTTAGCCAACTCAGCCACCCGGTGCCCCTTCATATATATTATTTAATCTACACAATGGCTGCCTGGGCAGGTGGTTCTGTTGCCACGGTGTCATATTGAAGGGGAGACCTGAAGAGCTTAAGGGATGAGTATAAATGGCGCAGCTAAGTTGTAAAGCCTCAGAGTGTAGAGTGGACGGTGATGTGCCAACACAGTCAAGGTAATTTCCTCCAAGCAGCCTCGATATGGCTACCCCAGGGAGATGTGAGGCAACAGGAAAAGCTCATGTTTGGAGATAGTGAGCTGTTGTTGAACATGAGACAAATGACCTAGCCACTGAGACCATTTCCATTTCTATAAAATGGCAATAAAAGAATCATTGGAGGTACACACTTTCAGTCACGAGATGAATAAATTCTTGAGACCGGATATGTAGCATGGGACTAAGGTTAGTAATAATGTTTCATACTCTTTTAAATCAATTTTTTTTAAGTTTATTTATTTTGAGAAACAGAGAGAGCAAGTGAGGGAGGGGCAGACAGGGAGAGAGAGAGAATCCCAAGCAGGCTCTGTGCTGACAGCATGGAGCCTGATGTAGGGCTTGGACTCATGAACGGGGAGATCATGACCTGAGCCAAAACCAAGAGTTGGCCACTTAACAGGACCACCCAGGCGCCCCTAATGTTTCATATTTTTGAAGTTTACTAAGAGAGTAGATCTCAGGTGTTCTCACCTCTCCCGCATGCATGTGCACACACTCACCCACACACACAAAGTGTGAGGCGATGGGTATGTTACCAGCTCAGTTGGATAATCATCTCACAATGTATGTGAATGTCAAAACGTCACATTGTACACATTAAATACCTACAATTTTTATTTGTCAATCATACTTCAAAAAAGCTGAAAAAAAGTCCCCAAGAGGTGTAGGGATGACACGAGGGAGCATTTTGCCCTCTATCCTTCCTCTTGCCTTTCTTATAATGTTACAGCAACTTTTGCAGACTGGCAGATGGACCAATCGGATTTTTCTGCCTCATCCTATTTAACTCAGAAAATGATACTCCTACTGCTACAAAACATTATTTTCTAATTTCCTCAAAACAAACAAACAAACAAACAAACAAACAAACAAAAAACCCAGCAGCTTAACAGGCTGGGAGGCATGTTACTGTTTGGGTTTATATAGGAGAAAGAAAGAGGACTGGGAAGAGAATAAGGCCCCATTCTTTTTGTTCTTTCTCCAGCCACTCTTTCATTTGCTTGCTTTCTTTTCAGGAATCTTCAAGACTGTCTCCAACCCTGGGTTCACAGCATATGAAATGAAAATTGGTGCAGTTACTTTCCAGATTGCTACTGGAGATATTACCAAAGAAAAGGCAGATGTGATTGTAAACTCAACAACAAGGACATTTAATCTGAAATCAGGTATTTTATTTAAGCAATGTAGTTGACTGTAACTATTAAGATGACTCACGTCTGGGAGGGAAATTGTGGCTAATGTTGCCTCAGTAGATGGAGCATATAGCAGAACATAGGTAAGCCCTGGAATTAGAAAGACCTGGGTTTGAATCCCTACTATGCCTCTTACCATTGTGTGGCCTTGGAAATATCATTTAATCTCTCTGAGCCTCAGTTTCTCTGCCTGTCAGATGTTGATTTCCCACAGGAGGATTAGACAGGGTGTAACCATGTAAAGGTGAGGTGTAACTGACATGTCAGATTTAGTCTCTGTTAGCTCTTGTCCCCACTTTAGCCCTATCAAAATGCCACACTTCTAATTTAGTAAGTTGAAGTTCTATTTTTATTTTCCCTTTTTAAGAAAGTTTTATTTATTTTTTAATTTTTTTTAATGTTTATTTCTGAGACAGAGAGAGACAGGGTGCAAGCAGGGGGTGAGGGTATAGTGAGAGAGGGAGACACAGAATCTGAAACAGGCTTCAGGCTCTGAGCTGTCAGCACAGAGCCCGACGCGGGGCTTGAACTCACGAACTGTGAGATCATGACCTGAGCCAAAGTCAGATGCTTAACCGACTGAGCCACCCAGGTGCCCCTTTTATTTCTCTTTTTATGTAACTCAGTGGGCACTCATATCTCACCTCTTGTAACTCTTCCCTTCTCTATGTCACACTGATCCAGAAATGAAACTCAGCCTTTTCTTGATTTTTCCTGGAATATCTGACCACCTCCATTGATGTAACACCTCTGAGCATGCCCTCTCCACGTCTATTTGTTTATAACTTACATACATATAAGCTTATGTTAATATATTTTTAATACAAAGCATTAAATTTGAGATTAAAAGGGTAAGATAATACATAAATAGAAATAGAAGTTTAAACATTTTCGAAACTGCAAAATATCATGGAACTTACTATGTGGAAGTGAATATGTAGAATATCCATCCAATGTATTGGTCATTCAAAATGCAGACATAAAGAACATTCAGTTATGTGAAACATGGTAAATTGAACATATGCATTTGTTCCTGCTTCCTTGGAAAATTCTATTGAAGCAACAGTAAAGGAGGGGCGCCTGGGTGGCTCAGTAGGTTGAACGTCCGACTCTTGATTTTGGCTCAGGTCATGATCTCACAGTTTGTGGGACTGGACGCCATGTTGGGCTCTATGCTGACAGTGAGGAGCCTGCTTGGGACATTCTCATTCTCTTTTCTCTCTCTCTCTCTCTCTCTCAAAATAAATAAATATAAACTTTAAAAAAAGCATCAGTAAAGGAAACAAAAGGGCATAAACCCACAAGGAAAGGGAGAGTCAGAGGGAGACCAATAATGAACAAGAGACAACAATGTACTTTTAGAATATGAGAAGCAGAGTGGTGAAAGCTTAGCATCAGCAGGAGAGAATGGTAGACCCTAGAGACATAAGAGTTGGAGGCAGCAGGTACCTGGGAAGGCACAGGACAAGTAAAGACATGAAAACAGAATTGATGCAATTCTGGGGTGCCTGGGTGGCTCAGTCAGATGGACGTCTGACTTCAGCTCAGGTCACGATATCACGGTTTGTGGGTTTGAGCCCCGCATCGGGCTCGGTGCTAACAGCTCAGAACCTGGAGCCTGCTTCCGATTCTGTGTCTCCTTCTCTCTCTGTCCCTCCCCCACTTGTACTCTGTCTCTCTCTGTCTCTCAAAAATAAATAAATGTAAAAAAAACAAAATTAAAAAAAAAAAGAATTGGTGCAATTCTGTATGAGTAGCACTCACATCCTTCATTCTATCCTCCATCCATCCGATGCACCAGTAACTTCCCTTGCTCTTCCTTGGCCAGAGATGGGAGGTTTATTCTCTGGAGAAACAGAACCAGAGAGATTCTGGACTTAGAGCAGGACGCACAGGTGAGATGAAAGGGGGAGCTGGATAGTATTCAAGTGAAAGTTTCTGTACTGAACCGTGAGTGCCCAGCCCCTGTCCTTGTGGGGCTCCCAGAACAGCACACCGGCTTCTGCCCTCCAAGACATGAGATCGGCGGAGCCTTCTGGGGAGAAACCAGCTGCCTTAAAGCCTAGTATTTACTTCCTGCTTACCTTACACTAAAGCCTACTAGTCAGCAAGCGTCGTTTACATGGTCCTCCCAAACTCACTCTTAAACATCTTAAAATGGACTGGTGAAGATCATCTGACATTTGAAGAACACCTCCATTATTGCAAAGTCAGAGACCCACACATATTAAGAAAAAAGGAATTTTTAAAAAAGAGACAATTCATAATGCACACACAGAATCAAAGAGACACAGTAGATAGAGGATAGAAGATAGATCGTTAAAATGATAAAATAACTGATAATTATTCAATGATTTCTGTGTGCCAGATTCCATGCTAAGCATTTTGTATGCATTGCCTCTTTTAATGTTCAAATAACTCTGTGAGGGAAGTACTGTGCTAGCCTCTGTATAACTGGTGAGAAAGTGACTAGTCACATATTAGCTGGTAAATGGTGGAGGCAACTCTAACAGTCTGTCAAAATGAATAGTCTGTGTTTTCAGCCATTCAACTCGGCTGTCATTAGTGGTGACCAAAGCGGTGAAGCCACAACCTTGACTGGAAGATTCACTGGCCTGAAGGCAGCTGCCTACCTGTGAAAAACAAAGCTAAACAAAACAAAAAATTAAAACCAAAAAGCTTATGCAAAATGCTCAGTTTTATTTTGGTTTTGAGATCCATGCTTCCCATTAGCATCAGAACTTTCATTTTTATATTTTTCAATTTTATCAGATAGTAAGGGTAGAATGCAAACAATTTCACATAACCGCAGAACTATCCCTGTACAAATGGAGCCTGTAAAGCTGCAGACACAGGAGACTGTCGGCTGTTGGGCAGCGCCATCATGCTGCAGCTCAGATTGTTTATTGATCAGCTACTGAATGAAGGTTGCTATTGAAAAGGTGGGTTTTTCTGTGGGGGGTATCCATGAATTACACACCAAGGGGCGAGCTGAATAAAAGTCTAAGGTACAAAAGCTACAGTCTTGTATTGGATTTTAACTAATGCTTTTTACCACTAACATGTCTTATTTAGGGGTGTCAAAAGCAGTTTTGGAAGGTGCCGGACCAGCTGTGGAAAGTGAATGTGCTGTACGAGGTATGGTCACATGTTACTTTTGGCTACAATCTACTGCAAATTAGAGGGCTGAGTACTCTAATAGGACCTACGGGAGGAGTGTTGAGTGCTTTGGAAAAAGGTCGATTCCCTGGGAGAGCAGATACAGGTGGTGTAACTGTGGCCGTGTGGAAGACGTCCTTTCTCCCACCATCTCACCTGTCTCTTCCTGACTATTAAAAAGAACTGGGTCCCAATGGTCCAGGCTCAACCATTTACTGAGGGCTCCTGGGCATGCCATCTAATCTGTCAGAGCTTTGTTTCTCTCGTCTGTAAGATGACTCTACTAAGGAGGGGTATGGTAATGGCCGGCTCACACGTGGTTGTGAGGATCAGGACAATGAGTGTGAAAAGTTACGTAAACTATAAGTGCTGTATAAATTATCTTTCAGTTTTCCCAACCCTGTTCTACTTCCTATAGCGCCACATCTACTTGCTGTGAAGAAATGTGGAACCTGGGTGGGTCTGAGGTGTTTTCTGACCCCAACCAATTCTCCAATTCTAACACTATGTACCTGTAGAGTTAGCATTGGATCCCTCAGGGTAAAGGGCTCAGTTCCACAAGACTCCCCCACTTCAGACACCAGTCGCCAGTCCTAGGGGCTACCTGTACTTCTCACTCATCCTCTATAAATTCACGCATTCACAAAACCCTCTTCTCAGGTCTGGCGGTACCCTAGAATGACTCATAGAACTCAAGAAAACACTATTTTTTTTTTTTTTTTACATTTACCAGTTTATTATAAAAGATACAACTCAGGAACAGCCAAATGGAAGAGATGCAAAGGGGAAAGTATTATGGGAAGGGACGCAGAGCTTCCCTGCCCTCTCCAGATGCACCACCCTCCCGGTACCCAGATGTGTTTATCAACCCGGAAATTCCCCAATCCTGTTTTTTTAGCAGTTTTTATGGAGGTTTCGTTATGTGGTCACAATTAATTAAATCATTGTGTTTTTGATGGAGGTCTGCAAAGGTCAGAGGGTGGGACTCTGACCATGGCTTGGTCTTTCTGAAGACCAGCCCCCATTCTGAAGCTATCTAGCCTCACAACCCTCAAGAGTCCTTTCATTTGCTTACAAAAGACTTATTACTCAGGAGATTCCAAAGTGTTCAAGGAACTCTGAGCCAAGAACCATGAACAAAGATCAAATATTTGTTTTTTTTATTATACCACAGTGGGGAACCTGTAAAAGTGATGCTAAACTATTTATCCTTCAAAGTCAGGACTCATGTCTTGCCAAGGAGACTATCAGCTACGAGCATGATTTTAAAAAGTCACAAGGTCTCGTGTTTGACAAACAGTCCCACAACTGACTTGCTTTTGTGCCTCAAAGTTCTATCTTGATAGCTCTCCTCTGATTAAGACGTTTTCTCTGGAATGAATGTATTCCTGGAGAGGGGTCAGAGGAAGGGAATATTGACCACTAACATGAGGATGTTAGCAGGAATTTGTGGGTTGGAAAAGCTAGCTGTACCTTGGAAGGCAGAAGCAGAGAATGAAGCAGGGTATCGAACAAGCTGGAAACCGAGGCTGCCTGGGATGGGACAGCCATTGGGACACCCGAGGGGCAGCAGCGAGTGCCTGGGCAGGGTGGGGTGGGCCCACTCTCCTCCTCCTGTATTTGCCAGAGGCCCGCCTTCCTCAGGTACTTACTCATGCCTTAAAACAAGCTCTGGTGATTTCCATGTGTTCAAGAGCTCTCAGGGTGGAGAGAGAGGGAGGAGTTTTCATCCATTCACACCTCCACACCAATGAATACATTGCTTTTGTCTCCTAGAAAAATTAATCTAGCTAAATGAGCACATAAATTGCTCTTCTGGACAGCAGCTTGGGGGCTAAGAGCTCTGGACACTGACTGCTTAGGTTCAAATCCCAGGCAACCTTTGCTATGGACCTTACTTCTCTGAGCCTCTGTTTAACCTGTGAAATGGAGAAAACAGTACCCACCTGATAGCCTTGTTTTGAGGACTGAGTGGATTAATGCAGGTACAGTGCTTTTGAAAAGCACCCCAAATATCAACAATATCGTTGTTGAGTAAAATAATCCTGCACATCAGTCAGAATGGCTAAAGTTAACTCAGGCAACAACAGATGTTGGCGAGAATGCAGAGAAAGGGGAACTCTTTTGCGCTGCTGGTGGGAATACAAACTGGTGCAGCCACTCTGGAAACCAGTATGGAGGTTTCTCAAGAAATTAAAACTAGAACTACCCTACGACCCAGCAATTGCACTACTGGGTATTTATCCAAAGGAGACAGGTGTGCTGTTTTGAAGGGACACATGCACTCCAATATTTATAGCAGTGCTATCAACAATAGCCAAAGTATGGAAAGAGCCCAAATGTCCATCAACGGATGAATGGATAAAGAAGATGTGGTGTGTGTGTGTGTGTGTGTGTGTGTGTGTGTGTGTGTGTGTATATATATATAATGGAGTATTATTCAGTAATCAGAAAAAAAAAGAAATATTGCCATTTGCAACAATGTGGATGGAACTGGAGGTTATTATGCTAAGCGAAATTAGTCAGAAAAAGACAAGTTTCATATGACTTCACACATATGAGGAATTTGAGATACTAAACAGATGAACATAAGGGAAGAGAAGCAAAAATAATATAAAACAGGGCTGGGGACAAAACATAAAAGACTCTTAAATACAGAGAACAAACTGAGGGTTGCTGGAGGGGTTGTGGGTGGGGGATGGGCTAAATGGGTAAGGGGCATTAAGGAAGACACTTGTTGGGATGAGCACTGGGCGTTATACACAGGGGATGAATCACTGGAATCTACGGGAAATCATTATTGCACTATATGTTAACTAACTTGGATGTAAATTTAAGACTAAAAATAAATTTAAAAATAATAATAATAAGGGGGGAGGAGGGGAAGAATCCTGATTGTAAAGAAAATGAGCCTGTCACAGTCCCAGTGAGGGCAACTAGCTAGATGGAGGGAGGCTGGACTTGGTCAGGAATCATCACGGCTTTTCTGAGTTCAGCTGTTTTCATTTCTCAGTGGTCATCGTGTTGCTTCTTGTACGTAATGTGCTATGTGTTTCCTTCTTTCTTTTGTTCCAGCTGTACAGCCTCACAGAGATTTTATAATTACACAAGGTGGATACTTAATGTGCAAGATAATAATTCATGTTCTTGGGGAAAATGATGTCAGAAAAACGGTTTCCACTGTTCTGGAAGAGTGTGAGCAGAGGAAGTACACTTCTGTTGCCTTTCCAGCCATCGGAACAGGTTTGCAGCCTCTCATCACTCAGAGATTCTGAATAATCCAGATTCCTTTAGACTTAGGCTCACTGTTTATGAACTCCATGCTGAGTCCAGGCAGTGATAGTGATATTTAACCAGAGTAGGCAAACTTTCAGACCCTGAGGGCCATCTATGGGGCCTATGCCTCTCTCATACATATTTGTCCTTACTTGTATGTTCCCTAAGTATCTTTCCATGTTTGGTCCTTAACTTCATGGTTTTCTTATTGTTCATTTTTTTTTCCTTTGGGGGATTTATTTGTTCTTATTATATCAGTTGCCTTTTCTGCACTGACTCTCAGATCAGCGTTTCTCCTTCTCCCAGATCTCCTCTGGGAGATTTCTGTTACCGGAAACTTTATATCAGAATCCAGATTCAACATCATCATCATCTCTTGCAAACAGCCACTTTTCTTGAGTTGCATCATTTCCTGGTTTCCTCCTGCAGGGGTGCCATGATGCCCCCAGCTGTTCTGTACCCTGCTTCTTTGTGCCCCCAGACCGCACAGTCAGGACATTCTACTAAATCTTCCAGGGGTTGTTCTGTTTCAGCCTTCCTGTTTATTTCCAAAGCCTTAATACCTCCCCCATCGGGTTTACAGCAGCATCTCTCACTGGCTCCTCATTGGCACATTCACTAGATTGCAATGCTCTTTCCCAGGCCCACTGCAAATTCCTAGGGATAAAATCAGTGAATAGGATGCAGTCGCCATCCTTTAAGCAACAAGTTCAGGTCCGTCCTGCTCACAGTTTTGAGGAACACTTTCCTCCCCCATCTCTATCATAGCATACAGTAATTTCTTCTCAGTTGAAGGTGATGCTAATGACCCACCCCATGATTCATTCGTGCCCAATTACACAGGTTATTTATTTAAAAAATTTTTAACATTTATTTATTTTTGAGAGAGAGAGAGAGAGAGAGAAAGAGAGAGAGAGAGAGGCAGAGAGCAAAAGAGACACAGAATCCTAGGCAGGCTCCAGGCTCTGAGCTGTCAGCACAGAGCCTGACGTGGGGCTTGGACTCATGGACTGTGAGATCATGACCTGAGCTGAAGTCGGAAGCTTAACTGACCCAGCCACCCAGATGCCCCTACACAGGCTTTTTAAAATGGACTGAGAGGGCCCTAATGAAGCCATCACATGGTTATATGTTTTAGTAAAGCTTCAGAAGTAAGGCATTTTAACCACTGTGGGTTAGGATCACTGTTTCTTCCCACTTTGACTCCTCAGACTTTTCCTGGCACTGGGCATTGGAGAGGCTGCAAGCATTTTTGGAATATAGTTAAGGAAAGTTGACTTGAGAATATGATTTTCAACATTTTAAAATTTATACTTTGTTGTGATTTCTTTTTTTTTTTAGTCTAAATATTCACTTATATGCATAATTTTGTATTTTTATTTTGTTTTCCAAGATGTATAAGTTTCAAATCCTACAAAACCTGGACCCACCCCTGACTCCTAGTTTTCCCATCTTGCAGATAAGAACTTAAAGTATTAAAGCACAAGGTCATATAGCTAGTGAGCAGTGTAACTAGGTTCAAATCCAGGAAATCTGGTCTTTACATTGCAACCATTACATTTTTTTTTATGTTATGTGGGTTTTGTTACCATTTTGCCCTTTATTACTATATTCTTAGCTGCCACATCCTTATGTCTCTTAGCTATTACCTTCTATTATCATCCCAATTTTACAGATGAGCAAACTGAAGTTTGGAGGTGTTGTGGGCTGAGTTATGTTCCCCTGGCCAAATTCATATGTTGAAGCCTTAACCTCTGTACCTCAGAATCTGACTGTATTTGGAGATAGGGTCTTTCAAGAGGTAATTAAGTTAAAGTGAGGTCATCAGGGTTCTCCCTCATCCAATACGACTCGTGTCCTTGTTAGGAGATTAGAGCACCCATAGGTACAGAGAGAAGACCACGTGAAGACATAGGGAGAAGACCACCATCTACAAGCCTCAGAGAGAAGCCTCAGAGAAACCAATCTTTCCAGCACCTTGGTATCAGACTTCTAGCCTCCAGAATTGTGAGAAAATACATTTCTGTTGCTTAAGCCACCAGTCATGGCAATTTGTTATGGCATCCGTAGCAAACTAATGTAAGAGGGATCAAATGACTTCCACAAGATCACACAGCTAATCAGTGGAGAACCAGGGCATAAACCCAGATCTTCTGCACCCAAATCACCTGTTCCTTTCTCTGTACTTCCAAAGCCCTTTAGTCAGAGACCACCAGGAGCACGCACTGTAAAGAACCACACAGCATCTCACCAAGGGGTTGTTAAGGAATCATTGAGGGATGTGAGCTTGTGTTGGGTGACTTTCTGGCAGTCTAGGGTAAGTGGGCTTTTGCTCTGGATTGGATACTTGAAGAAAGCAGACATAGTTCTATGACTGGGTATCTTACCTGGAACAGGAGAAAGTGTGGCTGAAGCCATGATTATAAATGAGGCAGCACTTGCTCATATTAGTCAAGATGGAGAGTGTTTGGCCATTTTTGTGATTTGGCTGGTGTTCATGTTTTTATCTGTGGTCAGACATGATTATTCAGCGGTGGTTTTTGACTTGACTCATCACAGCCACAGAGTGGTTACATTTGATGCTGTTCTATGAAGTTGTTTGAGTTCAGCCAGAGAACGCCAACACCCAGCTATGAGCGCCAGATCTGTTCTGGCTGTTAGGGGCTGTGTTCTTTCTTGGCACCAAAAACTGCATCTGCCAAATATTATCACTTGACTAACACCAGCTAAAGCTTCTTTTTGTCATCTAAAATTTTTTTCTTTTTCAGGCAACGCCAGAAAAAACCCAGTCATAGTTGCTGATGACATGATCAGTGCTATTGTAGACTTCGCCTGGAAACATTCCACCCCATCATTAAAAAAAGTTAAAGTTGTCATCTTTCTGTCTGAACTGCTAAATGTATTCTATGACAACATGAAAAAGAGAGAAAATTCTGCATCACCCGTCTTTCAGTCCACATTCTTCGAGAATGCATGTAAGATGTTCTTCTTTAAAAAGATCATGTGGTTCTCTCTCATATCACTTAGCAGATGTTTAGATATTAATGCTCAGTGTTTTATCAGTTTTAGGATTTTACAGACAGCCTCCTATAATATGTGGGGAAAGTGCACGAACTATGGAACGCAGCCTCCTGTCAGCTGATTATTCTTCTGTGGGGCAAAATTACTCCTGGGGAAACAGGAATAGCAAAGGAACAGGAAGAGGATAGAAGTGAGAAAGCAGGAAGAGGAGGATAGGCTTTGAAAATCCTAGCTAGTTGTCTCATTATATACTTATTGATTAGTGTTACTCTCAGTGTCCCTTGTAGCTGTGAACAAGTGGACCAATACTGGTTTATTGATTATCCACCACCAGACAAGTTAGCCTGGGAATAGAAGCAGATGCAAGAAGAGAGTGGTCAGGGTCATTTGGTTGTGCTACTTCATGAGCAGGCAGATTCCCAGCTGCTTCTCTGTAAGGTGTGTGTGTATGCATTATGCTTAAGCATCTGTGTTGACCTGCCCCTCTGTCCCCCATTTTGTGGCTTCTGTACTGCCTAGAAAAACAGCCTCCTCTTGCGATCACTGTTTTTGTTTATTTGGAGCACTCACTCATAGAGCACTGTGAGTTTCACTAGTGATGAAATGTACCTGTCATCAGGAGCCTCCCTAAACTGGAAATTGTTGTCTGACAGTACCAGTAGGAATTTCAGTGCTCTCTACACCTATTTTTTTTTTAATTTTTAAATGTTTATTTATTTTTGAGAGAGAGACAGAGCACTAGTGGGGGAGGGGCAGAGACAGAGAGGGAGACACAGAATCTGAAACAGGCTCCAGGCTCTGAGCTGTCAGCACAGATCCCAATGCGGGGCTCGAACTTGGGAACTGGAAACGGTGAGATCATGACTTGAGCCAAAGTCGGACACTTAACCGACTGAGCCGCCCAGGCACCCCTACACCTATTTTCTGACAACTGTTCTTCTCAATGTGCCTCCACATACAGCATATGTAAGAGTTACACACACACACACACACACACACACACACACACGCATGCACTAAACAGAAATGAAAATAATAGTTGGATCTGTTAATACTCTTATAATAGCAAATAATAGAAAATCCAATTTAAACTGGCTTATGCAAAAAAATGGAATTAATTGGCTGACATGACTATAAAGTTGACTCATACCTGGCTTCAGGTCCAGTTTGATCCAGGTGCTCATATTATATAATCTAGACCCTGACTTTCTTCATCTCTCAGTCTCTTGTCAGCTGTGTTGTCTTTAGGCTTAGGTTTCACATGGTGAAAGATGGCTGCTAGCAGCTTCAGGCTCATATCCCTATATGGTCAGGTCCAACAGGAAAGAGTATATCCTGTGGCAATATATACTTATCATCAGGAACATGATGCCTGGGAACAGAGGTGTTCACATATAGCTGAAATTCTGATTGAATCAGCTTAGGTAATGATTGCAGCGAGGGAACTGGAATTACACTAATTAGCAATACAGAGTCTATATGCTCTATACTTGAACTGAAAGGGATCACTCTCCGAAGCAATGGGGAAGGGTTGTTCACCAAAGGAAATTCAGGATGCTTTTATCAGAAGAAGGGGAAAAGGCTGCTGGATAGTTAAAAATTATAATACCTACTAGAGTATCTAGGGATTTATAAATTAACATGCCCCCCACTTTGGTCTTTGTAGAGGAAAATTTGTACTTAAATACAAGAGCAATAAGTCATTATCAGTAAAGTAAAAAATTAAGAGAAACTGGTTCATCCATTCCCTGCTTACACCGAGAATTTAAATTGACTTATGAAATTTACAAAATAGACACGAAAGTTAAAGAGACAAGCAAATAAAAGCTAACTAAAATGAGTAGACCAGTGACCCTATGGCACTTGGAGCAAAAACAAACAACAAAACTGCCTTACATAATCTTCGTTGTAGATGAAAGTAATAATGCAGATAAAATGTCAGATAAAAGGAAGTTTGTTGGCAGACACACAAACTTGAATTTTAGTAAGAATTTATCATGTGGATTTCTTTAAAAAAGAACTTACAGAGGACAACTTTGAGTTGCATTTGAGCCGATGGTCCACAATTGCTTTTCCAATGCACATTAAAGCTTTGATTGATTCAGAGAGCTTTTACTGAGCACCAGCTGAATATCAGACACTAGAGACATGGACTTGAGAGTCGTGTAAGTAGGTGGGAGTTGAAGCCATTGAGTGTGGACTGGATTATCCATGGAGGCTGTGAAGGTGGAGAGAGTAAAGGCTGAAAGCAGAGCCAGGATTCTTGGTGTATAATTCCACCTCCACCTGTGGAGAGGAAACTGAGGCAGGGTGCACAAGGAGAGGTGCAGGGGGGCATTTATCCCAAACATCAGGAATGGGAAAGTAGAGTGACATTTATCTTTTAAAAGAGATTTATAGGAAAAGCACTTGGGAAAGTGACTGGTGCATGGTAAACACCTAAAGAAAAAGAGCCATCATGTTGTTTCCCATGAAGCACTGGGCTGCAAGTCAATAGAACACAATTCTGTTCCTTCTTTGGAGGGAGGCCTTCCATGTAACAATGGATGTGTGAATATTCAGCCTTCCTGGGACTAGGTTTTCTCATCTCTAAATTGTCCAACCACAGTCATCTTTTGTCCACAGAGTAAGGTAGCACGGTTTGGTGTGGTTTAAGTGTGTGACTTAAGCTGTAGCTCTCCATAAGCTTTACTCCCTCTTTAATATACCTCTGGGATGTAGGAAAGATCAAGATTAATTGTTTTTTTTAGAATAATAACCATGTTAATAAAGGACTTGGCATTCCCTAAAAGTGCTTTCACACCCTTCATTATGTTTTAAATTTGAAACAATCCCATGAGGTGATAGAGCAGATTGTATCAGTTCCATTTTGCAAAAGAGAGCATGAAAATTCACTCAGAAGTGGTATTACTTGTTCCATGTCTTATGGCTGGTCACAGGTTGAGGCTGATCAGGTCTTCTGATTCCAAGCACTGGTATTTTCTGCTCTGCAAACTCATGACATGAAAGAAGAGAGAGCCCAAAGAAAAACTTTACTTCCCAGGCTTGCTTGCTGTATTCAGAGAAAAGAATGTAGCAGGTCCAAGAGGACTCTAAGACCTAGGACTAGACATGATGAGGCCAAAAGATCTGGAGGGAGTGGACACTGGGAGAAAGGAAAGAATTTAATTTGCAGAAACAACACACTCTGTTGCTTAAGTATTTAAAGCAGAATTTGAAAAGAGCTTCTAGATTAGGGTTTGATGTTTCCTTTTGTCATCAGAACTTCATTCCCTGGATGGACTCGCTAAACAGGAAGAGAGTTCCTGGATTATTATATCTTTCACTAACAATGAGCAAATTCTGGCTTTGTTTGTAAGGAGAAATCCTTTGGTCTTTATCTGTGGTATTGTGCCATTTTCTGGCATTTTATTCTCTACTACAGTCTGTCCATATTTCTATTCATCAAGCCATCTCAGCAACTTGGTGTGTAGCCTCAATGTGTTAGAAGGTTCCGGAAGCCATTGGAAAGCAAAGGAAAATTTTGAGCATCATCATCTTATATGAAAGCTTTCACTTAGAATTTCCACTGTTTTCTTTATATAGTGCTTTCTCTATTTCGTGTAGAAGATAGGGTACAAAACAATGTGTTTTAAATAACTTTGGCAAGGTACATGTTTCAAAAGAAAAATAATAAAGGACCACGCTAAATAAACTGATAAATATGAAGACATCAATAAATCGGGTTTCATGTTTATAATCAGTTTCTTATGGAATTAATTGCACAGCGCTGTCTAGGAAAATTATAATTTCAAGCTATAGTGAACCTAAGTTTACCTAAATATTTTAGCTAGGCATTAATATATGTCATGTTAGTGTCAGAACCATTCATTTCATCTGTGTTTGACAAATTGAGGATGATAAAAGAAGCAACGATGAAATGTGTAGCTTTTTGTTTTGTTTTGTTTTGTTTTTTCTCAAAGACCAGGATTAGATGAATGAGAAAAAAGAGCATAGGAAGTGCCCTGATTTTCAATGGTCCCTGGAAATGGATATTGTGTTTTCACCAAATGTTAACTTTCCAGATAATATTCCTGAACACTGGACTGACATGAATCAGCAGCTGTCCTGTGTGATCGAACTACAACCCGGACAGTCAGAATACGACACCGTAAAGGACAAGTTCTCTGAGACTTGTCTTTCCTACAAAATAGAGAAGGTAATATTGTGCCTAAAAAATTACTTCCTTCAAATATTGAAGAACTAACATCAAAGATATCTTTTTAAAATAACACTCTTCCTTCCTTTATGCCTTACTAGATTTATTTTAATTTGACTCACTCAAGCTCCTAGACTTCAAATCTCATGGTTCCTTCCTTAGCAGTAATGAAGAAGATTCCCAAAAGCGACATATATATGTTTGGATCCTTTCACTTAACAATTTACAAACAAACTCACTCAACCTGATTGAACAAGAAGAAATGTATTTGAAATTAATGGAAAGTCCAGAAGTAGGATGGTCTTTGGAACAGTTGAATCCAGTGACTCAGTGATGTCTTGGATCCAGTTTCTCTGGCTTTGTCACCTTCATCCGAAGGCTGGACTCCCTTCATAATTGTGGGATGGCTGCTGGTGGCAATCAGGGGGTCTCTATGTCCTCCATTCACATACCATGGAAGGGATACAGCCACTGGATAAGAGTCCCAGGCTTTGTGTTGAATGTACCACTACAGCTAGTCTGTGTTGGGAGAGTGCTATGTGCTGACTGGCTTATACCTGGGCTATCAGATGCCATCATTGTGTGATCCCATCATGAGATTATCCAGATCGGTTAAACCCAATTAGGCTGCACCTGGGAGCTGTAAGTGAGGCCATCTCCACCCAATCAGGAGTTGCTGTACAATGGGAATGAAGTGGAATGGATGTTCAGATTCTCACGACATCCACTGTGCTGCATAAAAATTTTAGCCAGTACAGGAATTTATTAGGTCATTATCATACCATGTATGTCAGAGCAGGGTATGGAAATTGATATTTCCATCCTAGTCATTTAAAAGTCTAGCTGCTACTTCCATACAGCAGCGTACTTAACCATATTATAGCACTTAAGAAATTGTGCTTTCATAAGCTTTCACATGCCTGACTGCTCCATTAGACAGTGGGCTTCTTAAGGTAGGATCGCACGGTAGCTAGCATATTGTAGGACACAGTACCTACTAAATGAACTTAATTCCTGAGAAAGAAAGAGAATCAAAAGAGGGAGACTGTTGCAGAAAGGAGAGAATTTAAAGGAAGAGATGCTTCATTGATGTTAAAAGATGTTGAGAGTACAAGAACCTCGTTCAATTGTGTTTACCCAATATCTCCAACTTTCTTGGCTCTTATCCTTCTATCATATCCATTTTGAAACACCTCAACTTTGGATTAATTCCATAGCCTACTTTCTCTCCTGCTGCCCCTGGATAAAATCATTATTAATTCATGGTCCCCAACCTCTGCAGCACTGTCCGGGTGCCTGAAATTTTTATTGCTTCCTCCAGTCAACTCCCTCACGCATTCTCCATTGCAAAATTTCAACATCTCCTTGAGGTCTTCATCTGTCTCAAAAAAAACTTTCCCTCCTGCTTTTATTACTTGGCTTCTCCTCAACATCTGCTACAGGTTACCACTCCATTCTTCTTATTTATGTATTTGTTTTTAATTATTTACTGAAATTGAGGAATAACTGAAATATATTAGTTTCAAGTATATAACATGATTTGATATTTGTATATATTGCAAAATGATTACTACAATAAGTCTAGTTACCATCCATCATTATACATAGTTATGAAAATTTTTTTTCTTGTGATGAGGACTTTTCAGATCTACTCTCTTAGCAACTTTCAAATATGCAATTCAGTATTATTAACATAGTCACCATTCTGAGCATTTCATCCCCATACTTATTTCTTTTATAACTAGAAATTTGTAAATTTCGGCCCTCTTCACTCATGTTGTCTATCCCCCCAGCCCCTGCCTCTGCCAACCATCAATCTATTTTCTGTATCTGTGAGCTTTGGTTTGTTTTTTGTGGGTTTTGTTTGTTTTAGATTCCACATGTAAGTGAAACCATATGGTATTTGTCTTTCTCTGTCTGACTTATTTCACCTAGCATAATGCCCTCAAGGTCTATGGCAAGATTTCATGCTTTTTAATGGCTGAATAGTATTCCTATTCCTATAGTATGAATTCCTATAGTATGAATTCCTATAGTATGAATATAGGAATCCTATATTCCTATAGTATGAATATATATATATATATATATATGTATATATATATATATATAGTATACTCCTATATATAGAATATACATATATAATGGAATTATATATATAATAGAATTATATACATATATATATAATGGAATGCTATTATGGAAAAAATATATATATATATCACATCTTCATTATCCATTCATCTATCAATGGACACTTAGGTTGATCCCATATCTTGACTGTTGTGAATAATGCTGAAGTGAACATGAGGGTGCACTCGATTCTTCTTGAACTCTCTTCTTTTGTTTCTAGAACATCATTCTTTCAGATTTCCTCCCTCTCCCTAGACCTAGATTATCTGGATCCTTTTCTTATGCTTTCATACTCCATGTGTATTCTCCTAACCCATCCCTTATCACTCTGGGAGGTAGTGATTTTTTTTTCTTGTGTTTCTCTCCCACTAGACTGAGGGCAGAGATCCAACAGTGCTTGATCCATAGTAGATGTTCAATAGATGATTACTGAATGTATGTTAATAAGTTCATTTTCTAGAAGGAAATAGAACCGTAGGGAATGATATTTTTAAAAAATTTTCAAGAAAGACAAAATTTCAAGGAGGGGATGATTTATGGTTTGAAATGTTATTGAAGGTCTAGAAAGAAATAGTCATTAGATTAGGCAGTTATGAGGTCATTTGTGACCATAATCAGAGCAATACAAGAAAACTGTTACTGGAAGAAGCCAATGGAATGGGTTTAGAGATCAGAGGGCGTTAAGGAAATCATTACTTGACAAATTTTTGAGTAGGAATTTGAATGTTAGTAAATCTCCAGGAATTCCAGGTAAACATTTTTATGTAAGTTATAAGTTCTGTTATATAAAGTAGATAATAATCAGCACTATTACAAAGTATAGGTACTCTTAACCTAGCCTTTTTCTAAAGGTGGAAAGCTACCTATTCTCTGAATTTGCTGTTTATTTGCATTTTATTTTTCTTTTCCTTCTCATTTCCTTCCTCCAGTCCTCCTGCTTCTCCTCCAAATTGCTTTTTTAAAAATCCACAACAAACACAATATACTGAGCTCTAAAGTCATTTTCAAAATGTTTTGCTTTTTTGTCATTTGCAGATAGAGAGGATACAGAATATATGGCTCTGGAAGAGCTACCAGATAAAGAAAAAGCATATGGACATCAAGAATGGCCATACAGATAATGAGAGAGTCCTATATCATGGGACAGCTGCAGACTCAGTGCCATATGTCAATCAGCATGGCTTCAATCGCAGTTATGCTGGGAAGAACGGTAAGGAAGTGAGTAATCTGGCCAACCAGAATGAGGTGAATGATAGTTCTAGCGTTGACTATTCACACCCAAGCAGTGTAGAACCATATATGGCAGCCATATTGTCATTGTCAGGATAAGGCTCATTGTGTGTCACCAGAAAGGAGGATGGCAACCTTCTGAGGATAGATGGAGTAAATTTTAGAAATGATGAAAAGTGGTTTTGGTGGGCAAGAACTACATTAAAAATTTTTTGTGTCAGGTTTGGGCTTGGTTCTACATACTGTGATAATTTTATGTTCTGAGAAAGGCTTTTGTGTTTCTCTTTACAGCTGCAGCCTATGGAAAGGGAACTTATTTTGCTATTGATGCCAGTTATTCTGCTAATGATAAGTACTCCAGACCAGACAGCAATGGGAGAAAGCATATTTATGTTGTGCGAGTACTTACCGGAGTCTACACACTTGGATATGCAGGATTAGTTACCCCTCCATCAAAGAATCCTCACAATCCCACAGATCTGTTTGACTCTGTCACAGACAATGTACAACATCCAAGCCTATTTGTGGTGTTCTCTGATAATCAGGCTTACCCAGAATATCTCATAACTTTCAGGTGTTGAAAAATAGGGGTTGGTTTTTTTTTTTTTAATCTCAAAGAGATGATTTAGTCGTCTATTCATAAAAACAATTTATAGGGGTTTTGTCTTTGCCTTTGGCCTGTTTTTATAGATAAAAATCTGTCAGGTGCTAAAATGCTGAAAACAGCCTTTTAAAAATGCTCTATTGAAATTTGTAGCATACCTCTCTTCAGAGCACATTGACGGGTGGAAGCTAAGAAATGTAGATGACACAATTATAGCTACAGCTATTTACAGACAGCAAGTCTGTAGGAAAACAAAGAGCACATTACTTTTTTCTAGCAGAGAAGACATAAGATGAATCACTTTAAAACCAAGCTGTTGTCCTTACAGAACATGTTAAGACATCAAACTGTGTTGAGCTCAACTGTACTATTAAATGAATAGGCTGCTGTTGTGCATCTGTAATAACTGTGAATTTTGCCTCCTTAAGAATACTTATTAGCAATAGCTCAGCTTTTAATGACAGAATCAAAGAGTATTACCTCAAATCTGTTGTGGAACAAATCAGGCAAAAATGTGTTGTACCATTATCTAATGCTACATAACAAATTACTACAAAATTTAGTGGCTTTTTGGGTAAGGAATTCAGGCATGGCTTAGCTGGGTCATTCTAACTTAGGGTCTCTTGACTCAGGAAGTTGAGTCAAGATGTTGGCAGGGGATCTGAAGGCTTGACTGGGGCTGGAAGATCTGCTTCTATGGTGAATCTCTCAAATAGCTAGACAGCTTTTGCTGGTTGTTGGCAGGAGTCCTCTCCTCTCTAGACTGCTTGCAGCTGGCTTACTCTACAGTCAGCAATTCAGGAGAGAGAAAAGAAGAAGCCATGATACCTTTTATGATCTAGCCTCTGAAGTCATACTCCATCTTTTCTACAGTAACCTATTGGTTACATAGATCAGCTCATTCAGTGTAAGAGGGAATTACTCAAGGGTATGGACACCAGTAGGCAGGGATCATTGGGGACCATCTTAGAGGCTGGATAAATGAGTGAATGACTAATACTTTGATAAAATGTTAGCAGTGAAAAGGACTCTAGAGGCCATCTAGGCCCACTGTCCTCTCATCTTTCTCTCTCACCTTCTCCTACTCCCAGGGCCAAAAGGCCTTTAGCCTCTGCTTGACTGCTTCTAACACTCCACATCTTAAGGATATTCCATTTGAGACAGTTCTAATTATTGGAAAACTCTTGTTTACATTGAATTGATATCTGTTCTTTTGAATCTATTGCCTGCTAATCACTGTTCCACCTTCTGGAGGACGCAGTACATATCTCATTCTTTTTTACAGATGGTGGCCCTTCAGATTCATCTCTTCCTTCTATTGGAGTTAGGCAAATTCTTGAAATGTTTAGCAGCTTATTTATCCTGAAGCATCATTTTTTAAGAGTTGAAGACTTTTAAGATGGGTTTATATCATAAATAAGCACATGCACATTAAAAAGAGTGGCGTATAAAGAAAACAGCACTCTTCACCATACTCTATCACCCATAACTGCAACATTCAGAGGAAACCACTGCCAACGTTCTTATGCATTCCCTTCTAGTTTCTTCTACATCCACCTTCAACAAAGTCAAAATCACACTTTATTCAATTACTTAATTATACAATATTGCATCTACCTTTTTTCATTTAACATTGTATTACTCTCATGTTATTAATTTTTACTATAAACATAATCTTAATCGCCAAGTTATTCCACTATATATTTTCCTTCTATGTATATATAATTATAAAGTCTTAAAATGTCATAGTCTTCCCTTATAGTTTAATAATCCAGTTTTTCTTTTGTAATATATCTGTATTATTTCCCCCATGTCATTAAATATCTTACATATAATTTTGATGATTGTATAGTATTTCATTGTATGTTTCTACATAAATGCCATGTCAAAGTAGGGTGCCCTATATTTCTAGAGAAACATATGGTTGGATTATGAGGTGCAAAGGACCATAATCTACCTTCAATGAGACACCACCTCCTGAACTTCTTGAGGGAAATAAAGACCTAGAGAACAAAGCAAGGTTAAATAACGCTCTGCTACTACGTGGGCCTTGGCTCCCAGCTCCAGTGTAGAATCCTAGTAAGCCAGGTTGAAACATGGAAGGACTCTTTTTACTTAGGTTAGGTAGTAGTACTGCAACTACATTGCAGTTGACTTGCAGTGTAAACTGCTGTCTTCTGTTTCCTCCAATATTCAAGGACTCCCCACTTGATTTTGCTATACTCCCACTTCACTAGAAGACATAGAAGTCTTGAATATAATACACCCATGCTATTAAAGTTGTGATCGTTTCTTGAGAAACAAAATATAGGCCAATCAATTATTACATAGTTATTATATTTTTGAAACAGAGAGAGAAACCAAGTGTCAGCAGGGGAGGGGCGGAGAGAGAGAGGAACAGAATCCAAAGCAGGCTCCAGGCTCCAAGCTGTCAGCACAGAACCTGCATTGGGGCTCGAACTCACGAACTGCGAGATCATAACCTGAGCCAAAGTCAGACGCTTAACCAACTGAGCCACCCAGGCTCAGACACCCCAATAATTATATAGGTATTATAAACTCTACCTTCCATCAGTCTGAAGCCAAATCATGTTTTTCAACCTTTTACGTCTCTCTCCTTCCCAGTTGGCTTAACATTCTCTAAACATATGACTAGAATAGTCTCTACTTCTCTCTTAATAACGCACTGTTTCCAGTTAACCAAAATTGGAAGGCTTTAACTTTGCTAACTACTGATGAACTAGGTTTCTTTTCTATGGATTTCCAGAGTTCAGACTGATGGTCCCTGATTGATCTGAGACCAGAAAACCTAAACTACAATTGTGACTGGTAGTCAGATGGCTTTACTCTCCCATATATCTTCTCTCCTTTTCTCTGTTTACTTCTTTTAGCATCTTTCTCCTTCTCATTCCTTTCTTTTTCCCTCTAATCCTTCCCCTTACTTGTGGGAGGATGAGGACACACATTCTGCTTGAATGAATCAGAGGAAACATTTTATTTTTTTTTTCTTCATCTAGAGTAGAGAAACAGATTCCATGTAGTATATATGCTGACAGGTTAGTTGAACCCAGGATTTGTGAATTCATTTTCAGCTGGTAGGCTAATTATCACAATGCTGGTAAGATTATTTACAGCTAATATGAACCAATTCAGTTTCTGCTAAACTGTTTATTAGAACAAATACTGTTTCTTATAGTGAACATGCTTTATGAGCTTAACTGATTAAATTATCACATTTACAAGCTGTGTAGGAAAAACTGTTGCTATTTCTCCTTTACTTACACTTCCACACTCAGAACACTTCCGACAACAGATGTGTGAGGTCTTTCCCAATGTAAATAATTCTCTTCAACATTATATGGGGGTCCCACAATTTAACTAAATTCTGACACTACCTACATGGAAATAGCATCAGATCCCACAAGGGCTCAGCCCCATGAGACTATCTTACCTCCCCATCACTTAAAATGCCAATCTCAAAGCCCAGGTTGTTCCCTGTACTTCTGACTGATTGTGCTTCTACTGATTTATACTCAGTGTGCCCACATCCCCCTCCTTGAGTTCGATAACCCAGACGCTCTGAAAGCTCCAACCTCCTAATCATGGCTTGACCTTTTTAGTTGACTGATTCCAAATCCAGGAAACCAGCAAAAGTCACTTCATTAGAACAAAAATTACTACCACACCCAAGAAATTCCAAGGCATTTAGCAACTCTGTGTCAAGAAATAGGGTCAAAGACTAAATTTTAGAAGAGAAGATGAGGTCTTAGGTACTATAGCAAAAACAGAGGAGTCTGTGGCCAAATGCATACCAAATACTAAATCCTGAGAGGACAACTCTCCCAAAGCTCCCTTCCCTGTTTGACTCCCAAAATAGCAGAAGCCAGACTTTTACTTTTCAGGCAAGACATTGGACATTTTTACTTTGCACCTGTCCACGTCAAGAGGAAATTTTACCCTAAAGATACTGACAGCAGGGGCTCCTGGGTAGCTTAGTTGGTTGAGCGTCCAACTTCGGGTCTGGTCATGATCTTGTGGTTTGTGAGTTCGAACCCCGCATCAGGCGCTGTGCTGATGGCTCAGACCCTGGAGCCTGCTTTAGATTCTGTGTCTCCCTCTGTCTCTCTACCCCTCCCCTGCTCATGCTGTTTCTCTCTCCTTCAAAAATAAACATTAAAAAAAATTTAAAAGAAAGAAAGAAAGAAAGAAAGAAACAAGAGGGAAACCCGAGTGGCTCAATCAGTTAAGTGTCCAGCTTTGGCTCAGGTCATGATCTCACAGTTTGTGAGTTCAGATCCTCTCTCCCTTCTCTCTTTGCCCCTCCCCCACTTGCTTGCTTGAGCGGGCTCTCTCCCTCTCAAAAATAAACTTAAAAAAAAAAAAGAAACAAGAGGTCTTGAAACTAAAAAGTGTAATAACATGTGAAAAATATGGGAGATAGAGTTGAGGAAATTTCAGAAAGTAAAAGCACACAAAGATGGAAAAAAGGAAACAAGGATACAATTAGGAGACAGCTCCAAAGGGCCCAACATTGGATTAATAGTAATTCCAGAACCAGAGATCAGAAAGCACAGAAGAAATTATCAATGAAAGAAATTATTCCCAAAATCCCCAAACTAAGGGACATGAGTTTCCAGATTGAAAGCCTGTAGTTAGTGCTCAGTACAACAGCAAAAAAAAAAAAAAAAAATAGACTAATCCCAAGGTATACCATGGGAAATGTTCAGGAACACTAAGGACAAACTGCCAGAGGGAAGAAAATAAAACATACAAAGGATCAAGAATCAGAATGGTTTCAGATTTCTCAACACCAACACTGGAAACTTAAAGACAGTGAAGTGAATGATTTCAAAATTCCAGTAGAAAGAGATTTCTAACAGTCAGTATTGGCAAAAGAGCCTTCTGGTCATCATAGTCTACAATGCAGGAGAAAATGCAAGTCTGCGCAAATAAGAGAAATTCTTCCAAATTTTCACACATGTTTGGATATGCATAGAATATCTCTGGGAGGATACACAAGAAGCAATAACTGTCAAAATCACAAGTGCATTATCCTTGACCCAGCGATCCGACTGCTAGGAATTTGTCATACAGATAAAAATGAGGAGTGATAGGGCGCCTGGGTGGCTCAGTCGGTTAAGTCTCAGCTCAGGTCATGATCTCACAGTTCATGAGATCGAGCCCCATGTCAAGTCCTGTGTCGAGCTCTGCGTTGCACTCCATGCTGGCAGCACAGAGCCTGTTTGGGATTCTCTCTCTCCCTTTCTCTCTGCCCCTGCCCTGTTTGTGCTCTGTCTCCTTCAAAATAAATAAATAAACATTAATGGTTTTTTTTCTTTAAAAGTGAAGGATGATTGATATATGTACAAGGTTACTTAATGTAGAATCATAGCATTTTTGCATTGTCTTCTCTGCAAGGAAGGAAACTAGATGGCTAGATGGGATAGGAGGAGACTTTTCACTGCATACCTCCATACTTTTTGAATTTTGAATCTCACAAATGTATTACCTATTTAAAAAAACAAATACTATCCCTTAAACCTTAAAAACTTCTGTACAATAATTTTAAAAAGCAATAAATACGGTAAAAAAAAAAACCCTGGAAGATTTGTAATGCAGACAACCAGTAAAGGACTCATATCCATGACAATATCAAGAACTATGCATCAACAGAAAAAGCAAGAATCTCTACAAAAATATGAACAAGACCACTGAAAAGGCAGTTCACAGAAGAGGGAAACTAGAATAATCAATAAATAGATCGTTTAAATGCTCAACATCATTAAAACAGTAATGACATATTATTTCACCTATATCAGCTTGGGAAAATTTAATAATGTCTAACAGTATCGAGTATTGGGGATGTAGAAGAATAAATTATAACAGCCACTATGAAAAGCAAGTCAGGGTGTGCAGGTGTACCATAGATAAGGCCTAATTAAAAACATACCAAATAAAAAGAGGAAAGATAGAAGAGACTGTACATTTAGAGACCGTAAGTAAACGAATTCCCAAATTAAAGAAGACAAAGTCTCAACTCGGATTCAACAATTCTTTGCCCTTAGGAGAATTTCCATTTCCCTTCCACAGAGGGTAGAGGCTGTTGAGGTAATTTGACCCTATCCAAACACTGGCACAGTCATCCCCCAGAGTGGGCTCTGTTCGCATTGAGGTGCTCAGGTTTGTCACTAACTGGGGAGGTGGGAGTGAGAGAGTTACTTTATTCCCCTCTCTTTGTGGGGTGAACACATGTAGGCCACCCAGTGAAGAATGCTCCAAATGCTCGTTACTCCTGGTTCCCTAGGGGAAGAAGCCTCACTGTAGGGGAACAAGGAGATCACATACATCTGATATAACTCATCCCTAGGGACCATACATGCAGTGTCCTCATCCAGACCTTCATCAGGTGAAGCATGTAAAATAAGGAATCTTCCTCTCCTCCTTACGCTGCCTCATTCTCCCCTCTTCCCTCTTCTACTCCTCCCAACTTTGAGCCTTCCCTCCTTTCCAGCCTATGGCCCTTTCCCCAGCAATTAGCAAGGCCCATGCTCCCTTTAGTGTCTGCAAAATCTTCACAACCTATGACACTGGTTGGAAGTCATAGCCATTCCTTCTCCAGCCCCATTAGGCTGCTGCATAGGAGGAGGAGCTGGAAACTGAGTGCCTGAAGGTGGAGGGAAGGAAGACGATGTGAAAGTATTTTTTGCCCTGAGGGAGGTGATTCTTTAAATTTTTTTTTAGTGTTTATTTATTTTTGAGAGAAAGAGAGGCACAGCACAAGGGGCAGAGAGAGATGGAGACAGAATCCAAAGCAGGCTCCAAGCTCTGAGCTGTCAGCA